TTTATAAGATCAGTATAAGAGTAAACACAGGGGGGAAATGTGTAGTTTGATAGAGAAATCTATATCCAAACCTCCAAAAATAGTTCTCATGTGACAAAACAATGTTCCGAAGGGCTTAAAGTGGAAGACAGAGTAGTAGTAATAATATTATTGGCTAACAATATTGACTGCTTACTCTGTGCCAAACACTAAGCATTAAATATGCATCCTTTCATTTAATTTTCCTAAGAACCCTCATTTTACAGATGAATAAACAAACTTAAGAGAGAAGAGTGTGTAAGTAACTTGATTTAGGTTGTATAGCTAGTCAGTGGCAGAACTGAAACTAATCAAAGACCCGAACACTCCTAAGTATTATGCTGTACTGTCTTCATCGGAAGGGTAACCTGATGAACTTGCCTGTGCAATACCCTTAAAAGGTTTAAAAGAAACTAAAAGAGCTAAAATGCAAAGATGCTTAAGTTTTCTGTAAGTAGTTTGAAGCCTGCAGGTCAGAACATGATCTCATGGGAGGGGTCAGAACCATAAAAGGTTTGTTCTCTCGATGAGAAACACTTCAACATGGAGCAATTAAAAAGAGTGGAAATCCCTGAAAAAAAATAGTTGACATATATTCTTCCCCCAAAAAACGAGAATTGGTTTAACTAAAATGCTATACAAGGGGAAAAACAATTATGCTCGGTAATCCAATTATTAGTATCATAGCTAATAGTGTCTAGGGGACATCAAAATATCAATTTAGGAAATATTAAAGGCAAGAGTTATTAGAACTTCAAGTGGCCCAGGCATCTTCATTAGTCCTGGTTCCAAAATAGGACCATAAAAGTAGATTCTTTGTCAATTATACAAGATAATCTCCTACGTTCCCTTGCTTAAAGGTGAAGCCTCATTACCAGAATTTGAAACTGCAAAAATCATCTCAACTAACAATTTGTTTAGGTTCCAACAAATAATAGTAGGAGAAAAAAGCAGATGTATCAGTTGGGGGTCTTTGCAGTGGAAGCAACAGGAAAACCAGGCTTGGACCACAGCAGGCCACGGGGATAGCAGGGCCTACAGAACACTACTATGACCGGCCATCAGGACACGGGCATTAAAATAAATGGACACCAGCAAGTTTAATCTTTTTATCCCTCTGCTCGAGATTCAGATTTCAAAATGAGAGTGACTAATTCTCCCTACTTACATCCCTGATCCTGATCAGAGTCGGCAGAGAAGAGAGTCCCGCCTGATTCCATCTAGTGGGAAAAAGAAATTCCTCAAAAGGTGATGTTTGGGAAGAAACATGTATGTGGAACAAAAACGGCAGTCCACAGCCCCGCCCTGGGAACACTACACGCGTGGCTGGAGGATAGCGCTGCCTCTTCCCAGAGAGAAACCCCATCTGCTAAGGCACTGAGAGCTCAGTTAGCCGGCTCCAAGAGCAAACGATGACGAGACACACAGTGACTGCTCTATTTGATCAGGAGCAGAAGGTCAAGGACATCTCAAAGGATTCTAGGTGCAATCCATTAAAATAAATCTGAGGTATTACATGCAAAAAGTTCATATAGACTTCGAAAGTCAAACAATCAAGACAGGAAAGTAGGAAAAATTCATCGCCCAAAATCAAGAAAAAGTCATGTAATTTGTGTACTATCAGAGGGTTGTCCCTCATTCATGGCAACTAGTTTGTCTACCCTTAAGAGATTTGTAATAAAACAGATGCCTGATGAAATTATCCAGCCCCACAAGGTCAGGAAGCTTTTGAAAAACTGTAACAGGATATGAATTATTTAAGAGTACTGAAAAGACCCAGGCTTTCAAATCATGTTATTGTATCATGTGGCATATCAATGACTGATTTGGGGACAATTTTTTTACAAGATCATGATAATGTAAAACATTTTATAATATGCCCCAATATAAAATGATTGCCAAGGGAAAGAAATTTATGTGTCTTCTTTAAGGAAAGAAAGTTTGGCAATTATTTGAGCCATAACATCATTGTTTACGAGAGGACAGTGAGGGACTGATCATTAAGCCTTAACACTTAGATAAGAAAACTACCACTGAGGGGCAGAGGTGGCTACAGAGGACTTCAGGACTTTTAAATAAATATTCAACACTTGCTAGCTAGTGAAAATCCTTAAGGAGGACCCCCCATAAAAAGTAGGGTCTTGAAATGCACATCATGAGTCTATCCTCAAAGAGCATTATAATTTGCAATTTTTCTTAAAATACATTCACTTAGGAAATAGAAGGGAAAGATGCACAAGGAGAATGTGAAAACTTCAGACTTCCCACATCTCAATATGGTCCCCAGTCTCAGTGGTAGGAAGACAGAGACTTAACCAGAATGGACATTTCATGGCAATATAAAAACAAGATTGAGCCCTGATGAGTGTGGCTCAGTGGATTGAGCACTGGCCTGGGACCCAGGGGTTGCTGGTTCCATTCCTAGTCAAGGCACATGCCTGGGTTGCAGACCAGGTCCCCCGCAGGGGATACAGGAGAGGCAACCACACATTGCTGTTTCTTTCCTTCTGTCTAAAAATAAAATAAATAAAATATTAAGAAAAATAAACAAGACTGAGTCATAATAAAACAAAAAGGAAGACCCCAGAGGTTTCACTCTCTGCGGGCTCAAGATTAGTCGTGAGACAGACAGTTCTAAGAAAACCAAACTTTATTCGCTTTGCTCGCCATACAAATCAGACCTAGTACCAACGTGCTCCAAGCAGTACACAGTAGCCAAGTGGCCACAGAAGCATCTGTTGAAAAAATGTCTTCCAACAAAGATCAGACAGCATTTCGGCCTTGTAAGCTGAAATGATCCAACAACGCCATCAGACTCCTTCACCCAAATGCTGAAAACTCAAATTTAATGAGGCTCTTCCCTGACACACCCAGGACAACCTTCCGACCTTGAACATCAATAGCATCTGGCCATCCCAAATCCTTAAACTTCCTACCAACCCGACTCTACTTACTGTCTAGTCTTCACCTCTTACTACCCTCTCCCAACATCCCCATCACCTCTCTGCCACTGCACCGAAGCTTCTGTCACGCTGTGGGACCTACTGGACTACAAGTACCCTGTAATCTATCCAGCTCAAGACCTTCACACATGTTCTCTCTGCCTAGAACGTCCTTTCTACCTTTTGTCCTCCTTATCTTTCAGCATTCAATTTCATATCATGTTTTCTAGATATTTCCTTAACCATTCCTTTCCTCTTGATGAATTCACCTGTCCTTCTTGCAATGAAAGCACCTATGACACTGACCCATGATTACCTACTGGCTTGTCTACATTCCCGTAGACTAGATTTATCTTGCAGACAGGGACAACCAAGAGAAGGCAGTCTACCAATATCTGTTGAACGAATAAAGGATTTGCGTGTGTTTGTTTTTGTCCCCTGTACTCAGCATAATACTGGGCACATAGCTTTCAATAAATATTTGCTGAATAGCTCATAGCCACTTAAAAATATTTGTTGGGTGGATGCAGTCAGGGGCAGATGACTAGGAAGTGCTATAGGTCAGGAATCTTAACTGCCCATCTCTTACCGTCTCCATAGCCACCAAGTCTTTAAATGCCTAATGGCATCATTTCCTTTCCCAATCAATCTGCACACACTTTCTATTATAAACTTTTAACCTCTGCTTTCATTTTTTTAAATTTGACCCTACACAAAACTCTGCTGGCACAAACATTCTGTTGTCACAGCTGTGACACATCAGGACATGTTCTAACACCATGCAGATGGCCCCCTAAAAATTCATAGTCTTCAACCTCTGCTAGAATTTCATCGCGTTGGCCAGTCCTTTAACCCGGAGGCACCTCCCTCTCATCCATTCCTCCCCAATCTCCAGTCATCATCTCTCCCCTCAGTCCCACTATCCACCCTCACTGTCTATAGTCTTGGCAGTTACCTTTGACTCCAACTTTATCAGATGATTAAGGTAAGATGGTATCAGCTCAATTCTCTGCCTCCACACCAAGAGACTTAATTAAATCTATATCTGTTCTTTCCACCTTTCTTTCTGTATCAGAGGATGAGGTGCCTGCCCTACAGCCCACCCTCCTTTATCCGTGCTTTCAATCTAATCCCCTTCCCTCTTCTAGCAGACTCCACTTTATGTATTAAACTCTGTCATATCTTCCATTTCTCTCTTTTTTATGGCTTTTCATTCTCAGCATATAAAATGATTAATTTTCTCCCTCAAATGCTTCTTAAGTCTGTATCCTCCCCCTAGCATTGGCCTATTTTTTTCTTTCCCTTACCAGCCAATCTACTTGTAGCACTATTCTCTGCCTCCTCATGTGCCACTCACTCCAAATTTGTGTATGTGTGCAACGCGGGGGAACTTTTTAACTACTCCATAATTTCAAATATTATTGACCTCAGGCATTTAAACTCTAAAATCAACAGACGATGAATCAGCCAGAAGACAGAATAATTTAGAGGCCAGAGACAACATGAACAAGGCAACTGATCCACAAATTAGCAATATCCATCTGAGAGAGGGTACCTTAGCCAGTGGGCTTTAACTATTTTAATTCCATAGTAAGGAAGGCATTATCCTGGTACAGTGTCACTGAAATTCTACAATTTCCCTCATTTTGAATCCTTCAGATTTCCTTCCACTTCCCACATTAGGCGGCCCCTACAGAGAATGAATTTCTCATTTCAGGAGAGTTCAGGGCCGGATGTATACAGAGTGGAGCAAAAGTAGATTTATACTAGTTTGTATGGAAAATAATATAATAATTAATAAACAATAGTACAGAAAGAAACTGTTTCACATACAGCTGTAAACCTACCCACCCTGCCCACCCTGCAGACTGGTTCCCCTACACGGGACTGTTCCACTTCTCAGATGACTAGATGTGAGAAACCTGAAGGTTCATAATCTCATGTTAAGGGCAACACATTACTTCTAGGAAAGGGAAGTAAACCATTCATTTAACAGAGGCTGTATGTCAAAACTGACAAGAAGGAATGATATATTGTTACCATCAAAAAGTCATGTGAAGATGTAGAGGCTGCATCTTTCTCAAATATTAGGAGAGCTTTTTGCATCAAGTACATCGCTTTGGAGAGCTTATTCTTCCTTATTTTATTCATTACACTTTCTTCTGGAAAAGTAAACAAACATTTTACCAAAAGGGTGACACAGAAACTATCTCTACAAATTTTTCGAAGAACGGGTTATCCCAGTTTCAATTACCTGTAAAACAACCGGTGCTTCCAGACTGGTTTAGCTTTTCTGGATTTTTGGTAGACACGCTTTTGCTAACAGTTGGAGTCTGCAAAACTGAAGGAGGAACCAGGAGACTGCCATTACGATTAGGTTTGTGTCCAAAAAAGGAAATATTTTCTAAACATTAAAGAATAGCTAACTATTTGTGAAACTATCACTTCCTCTATCACATTATCTTTTTTCACTGATAGATAAAAATTCAAACAAATCTGCTATAGTGCAGTTTTACTGTCAGATTTTCTTATATGTGCCACAGTACATCTGAGGACATAAGCATTTTCAAATTAGTCTTCATTCAAACATACCTCTACATATGTATGTATTTTCTATTTCATCTTAAATAAAATCATCTTGCAGACTGATAAATAGGACCCAATCTACTTTTGTTCACTTTCCATTTTCATAAACTTTTCAAAACTGCTTCATTCATGGTCCCTGCAAGAGTACCAGGTGAAGACTTCCACTCTCCTGTAGCTGCGGCTGATGGAGTAAGAGCCTCTCTCAAGATTTTCAACTAACACAAATTATGGCCAGTTGATGGTGGGCAGCGCGAGACATCCTGATGTACAACTGGGGCTGACCATCAAGGCGGTGCAGACAAGAGAGAAAGCTGGGTGTAGGAGAAAGGAATAGAGGTGGGTAAGCTGACCGGGAGAGACAGGGAACGTTGCACTGACTTTTGATTTTCCAGGTCTGGTCCTCAAGAGACCTGGCAATATTTTGTCTCTGTCCTTGGGGGTGTATGATGGTTCACGTAGTAACCTTACAATACACCCCCTACGTTGAGGTTTAATTATTTGTGCTAATGCATGTCAGTCACCATGGGATGGTGACTGCTGAAAAGATGCCAACAGACACCATTAAAGAATGTAAGGTTTCTCTAATGGCAAAGGTTAAAGAAATTTATCTACATGGAAATAGCAACACAACAAAATGTACAAAATAATACATCATTCTCTCAGTACCTAGGGTATCGTAAATACTAATTAAGTGATAGCTTTCAAGATCATAATTATTGGAGATAGGAAGGATGAGATTGCATGAAAACTCTGACTGCCTATTAAAGATGAGTCATATTTAATGCCACTGTCCTCAAAGGGCAACCATTGTAAAGTTCTTGCATAAGAATGACAAAAGCAGTACTCCGGCCACATTAGTCTAGCGGCAGCCAATCAGACTGAGGAAAGAGAGGAGGAACAAGCTGAAAATCTGTGCTAGACTGGCAGTCCAATAAAGCAGAGAAGAAATCCAAGGAGACCCAGAGATACTGGAAAGAAATAATAACAGAATATTCCTTCTAAATGTAAGTTCAAGTCTACCTTCACTGTTTTCAAATGGTCGCTGATAAAAATTCAGAGAATCATTTGGCTTTCAAAACTTTACACATGACAATTTGAGAATGAACTGTTTAGTAACTCTGTGAGTAAATAAACACTCTTTCTCCACTAAAGAAGATGATACAGCTACTAAATGAGAATCATGAGCTACTTGTCTCAAAGAAAACCTGATGCATATATGCCATTCACATTTTGAAATATACTCCTGACCCAAACCTTTTTAAACTAAAGAATATTCAAAGTTATTATTCTAAGTGACTTCATTTATGATAAGAAAAACTTTATCAAGTTCCCCAATTTATATAGGACACAGATAGTCTAATTATTGTTGCTCTCCTCCACACCAAGTATGTTTTTTAGGAATAACTCAAGCAAATTTGAATGGTCTCTGATGTGTAATATATTCTAAAACAAAATGAGCTACAAAGAAATCCTCTATTTGCTTGTTAAGTTTGTTGTTAATGGTGGTGTTGGTTTAATAATAATTTTTAAAGTGCCTTGTTAATAAGTCCAGATAAAGCAAATTACTTGTTACTTTGACATTGTTGGAGACCAGAGTTTTCAATGCAGGAGAAGGAAAGCACAAAAGAGAAATGCAAAACCACAGACTTGCACAGCATTGGACTTTGACTTTGCAATTTCAGAGAGAACTTGTGATATAAATAAATGCATATTCTTATCTCTAGCAACAATAACAACAAAAACTAATTAACATCCCAATAATAATGAGCACTCCTAACTCACAGTTCTTGGTTTTTAAATGCTATTTCTTAACAAAAGGAATCAGGAATCCTTACCAAAATGACCTGATTCCAGGTCTGGGGAGGATGAAACATAAGGTAGGTCTAAAACATTTTGTTGTGCAGAAAGCAAGAAATCGCTCAAAGAATAATGAGGACACAACAAAAGAACAAAGAATCCAGTCTGACGCCTCCCAGTGGCAAAATGGGTGACAGCATCAGAAAGAACAATGATAGTAACTGACTTTAAAATATTTAATAAAAAAGAAATCCACTCCATAGTATGACTCAAAAAACTGAAAGGTAAAAATTAGGGACAGTTCTTCACAAGAGAATGGCAGCAAATAAATGTAGCATGGATAGTTCAGTTAGAAAGTCGCCACACAGAGCCATCATAACAACTCATTCCAGAAGGATCACCAATAGATGCTAGAACTATTCAGTGAGAAAAATCCGTTGGGGAATAAGACATTCATTCCCAAAGCTGTCATCAGACAATACCAGTTATTTTTTCATTACACAGAGGAAAAGGTACCATTAGGTAGACACTACCTATCTATTAACAAGATAATAATATTTAGCCTCACCAAAAACAGGACAAATGGACAACATATGCAGCTTAATGTGATTCAATGAGATGAAGAAACTACCAGAAAAACTTAGATTGTAGGGTGTCTTAGAAACGTATCTTCAAAAATGAGTCATAAGAAAAAAGTTACAGGAATTACTGTAGATTAAAGAACAGCACGACAGAGGGGTGATGTCAGCATCATGGCAGCAGAAGATGTGCCTCATTTTTGTCCCCCTCCCTCCTCCACTAAAACAACCAAATTTCATACCCACTCATAAACAAAATGAAGCTGGGGGCATCACACTTCCTGATTTCAAACTATACTGCAAAGCTATAGTGCCTTACAGTATGGTACTGGCATACAAATACACAAGCCTATGGAACAGAAGTGAGAGCCCAGAAATAAAAGCATACGTATACATTCAATTAACATTTGACAATGGAGCCAATAATAACCAATGAGGAAAAAATGGTCCCTTCAATAATGGTGTTGGGAAAACTGCATATCCATATGCAGAACAGTGAAACTGGACCCCACCTTAAACCACTCATAAAAATTAACTCAGAATGGACTAGAGACTTAAAGTTAAGAACTGAAATCCAGAAACTCTTAGAAGAAGGCACAGGAGAAAAAGCACCTTGACATTGGTCTTGGCAGCAATTTTTTGGATCTGACAGAAAAAGTGCAATCTACAAAATAAAACAATTAAGGGGGTCCACATTAACTAGAAAGTCTTTGTCCAGCAAAAGAAACAAGCAACAAACTGAAAAGGCAACTACAGAATGAAAGAAAATATTTGCAAATCATATGTTGGATAAGCAGTAAATATCTAAAATACATAAAGAACTTTTATTACTCAGTAATATATATATTACTAATGTATACTATTATATATTACTATTCTGTATATATACACATATATATATGTGATTAAAAATGGGTGGAGAAACTGAATAGACATTTTTCCAAAGAAGACATACAGATGGCCAACACACACATGAAAATGTGTCTGTTCAACATCACTAATCATCGGGAAATGCAAAATCAAAACCACAGTGAGATATCACCTCACACATGTTAAATAGAATGTCTATTATCAAAAAGACGATAAATAGGTAAGTGTTGGTGAAGATGTGGAGAAAAGGGAACCCTTGTGCACTGTTGGTAGGAACATAAATTGGTTCTATGGAAAGACTATAGAAGTTCCTAAAAAATAAAAAATAGAAATACCATATGATCCAGCAATCCCACTTTGGGGTATATTAGCAAAGAAAATGAAAACAAGATCTCGAACAGGTATCTGCCTTCCTATATTTGCTGCAACAGTATACACAACAGCCAAGATATGGGAATAAACTAAGTGTCCACCAAAGGAGACTGGGTAAGGAAGATGTAGTATATATATTTTAGATTAAAATGTACATATCTATATATGTATGTACACACACACACATACATATGTATAAGAAAATTATTCGGCCATGAAAAAGACAGAAATTGTGGACCCTGAAGTCATTATGCTAAGTAAAATAAGGCAGACAGAAAGACGAATACTATATAATATCACTTATATGTGGAACCTAAAAAAGCTGAACATACAGAAACAGAACTTGGAGGGTGGAGAAAATGGGGAGATGTTAGTCAAAAGCTACCAACTTCCAGTTGTAAGATATGAGTCCTGGGGATCTATGGTACAGCATGGTGATTATAGAAATAACACTGTATTATGTACTTGAAAGTTGCTAAGAGATACCTTAAATGTTCTCACCACAAAAAAGAAGCAGTAATTATGACATGAGAGAGGTTTTAGCTAACACTATGGGGGTAATCATTTAGCAATAAATAAGCGTATCAAATCAACACATTGTACACTTTAAATTTACACAATGTTATATGTCAATTATATCGTAACAAAGCTGGTGGGTAAAAGTTTACACTGAAAAATTAATTAACTAATTAATTAATTAGACCTGAATCTGATGAAATCTATTGAGCTGTACAGAAGATGTCAGTGCTTCTGACGGCTGTAGATGGAGATCAGAGGTCACCCTAGGACACAACACTTAGTTCTATTCTATAATTACTCAGTAATTTAAAATGGAGAATTGCTGGTTATATTAATAGTGGCTATATAATCATGTCAAGAGTAATTTGGTTTTATCAAAATTTAATCCTGAACAGAAGAGATTTTAGACCTAATTATAGTAAATCCTATTTTGAGATCAAGTAAACATGTTATTTGTATTACCCAATAATAAGGCAAGCACTACTCAGCTTCAACCCATCTGCCCCCAGAGATGTCTTTCTCGGTTTTTTCATTAGATTCCAGGCTGAAATGTAAACCATTAGCCCTTCAAGATCTGTCTGTGAGCTCCCTCCCTAGGCATGTCTATTATTCCCCACGCCCCTGTGAGCTCTTTTTCCAGCCACAAGAGAGTTCCAGTCGTACCTAAAACTGTACAATTGTTCTTTCACCCTGCTAAATATTACTTTCTCTTTCCAAAATGATGACCTCATTTCCATCTTCAATCATATTTATTGGCTTTCTGGTCAATGGTCACCTCTTCCAGGTAGTCATCCCTGACTTTCTTGTGTAATATAGATACTCCTCTTCTATGTGCCATAACTAAAACTCTGAGCCTATTTCTACTACATTCTGCAACCTCTACTGTTACAGTCGGCTTACTTAACTATAAGCTCAAAAGTAGAGGCTGTGTCTTATTCGTACCAAGCCTACCACAGTTCCTGGGTCTTGGTAGGCACTCAGTAAATGTCTTGTTTCATTGAATTAATGAAATACCAATAATTTACTATAGCTCAAACAACTTTTTAGACATTTACTAACTTATTATCTAGGGAAGGTGTAAAGAATAATGAAGCTATTTTCAATATTAACCAGAGAAGAAAAATAAAATTATAAAATTTATCTGGAAAACACCCAATTTACAATAACATAATTTACAAATTAAATTGATTCTACACTTAAATTTATCTTAAAATTGATTTGGAACAAATTATTTGCTTTGATGGCTACTACCTTGCAATTTGTCAAGAAGCACAACAGCTATTCGGTGCTGAGCTTGAATTAGTTCAAGATGCAAATCCATCATGAAACTATTTGGTGTGACTGGTTTGGGAATGTCTTCATCTATATCATGGGTGCACTTTGATAGAGTTGAATAAAAATAAAAAAGAAATACAATTACCAAGACACGCTAAAAATAGCCCTACCCTGTAAATGCTCAAGTTACCACTCTACTCCTAGGCATTAAAATCTGCTTCATTTCTCAACCCACTGCACTCTGCCTTACAAATTCATCTTCAATGACAAATTCAAAGACTGCTCACTCTCCTTGATTTTTTTCTGGGAAGAGGAGAGTGAATGTATTTCTGGCTCATGAAGGGGAAGCCACCACAAATCATGACTTACTTATCTACTTGCAAGGCCAGTCCTCATTCTACTTAAGTAAAACTTCAATATAAGAGTTTCCCTGGGGTCACCCTGGCTGGTGTGGCTCAGCGGACTGAGCACTGGCCTGCGAACCCAAAGGTCACTGGTTCAATTTCCAGTCAGGTCACATGCTTGGGTTGTAGGCCAGGTTGTGTGCAAGAGACAAGCAATCAATGTACCTCTTGCACATCGATGTTTCTCTCCCTCTCTTTCTCCCCTCCTTTCTCTCTAAAAATAAATAAATAATGTCTTTAAAAAAAGAGTTTCCCTGGGATTGAATATGGGACTGGGTGGTGGGCAGGGTGGAGGGTGGACAAAGGGGGAAATTTGGGACAACTGTAATAACATCAACAATAAAAGATTGCAATGAACAGTTTCCCATTCTTACCTTGGTGTAGTAATGATCAAACACTGATGATCCATTTGGCAAAGCAGTTAACATGCAATTGAAATTTATTCCACCAATTGCTTTGTCAAGAAGTTGATAAGCCAAAAATAACTGTTCCAAGGGGTTTTTCTAGTGATTTTATAAAGAAAAAATAAAAATAAAAGTTGAGAAAAAATCATATGCAGCATTTCTGAACTTTTTTCAAAAACAATTCAAAACAAAATAACAAATTTAAAGTCTATCCAATGTTATACTTCTTAGCAGGTGTAGTTGTCTTTGAACAAACATGGAGTACTATTAATGAGGGTGAAATAATGAGTACATTTCATCATTTTTCCAAATATAAATTAGGCTTTTCACAAACACATATGCAACTTCCTTTTATGGTTTTCAGAATTCTGACTATACCAAATGTATAGGTAAATTTAAAAAATATAACTCATTTGTCATTTTCACATACTTTATTTTGAAAGTGAATTTTTTTAGACCTCAGACCCTCAGAGCTAGATATTCAGACTCCACCCAATTCAAAGGTCAACACCATGATTTCCAAAAACTAAATACCTTTTTACTGTAATGATTCATATGCAGAGACTAATGTAAAGAGCAACCAACTTTGCTCAAACTTTCCAACTCTCCATGTTTTCTACAGGAAAACTTTGGGACATAAAGCAAACACACACATGCATACACTTGAAATCCCTGTGTGACGGTCATGATGACATTGCTCTTCTCTGCCCCAGAGGTGGCCATTGTCCTTGAACCTGGCTTTATCATTCTTTTGCATGTTTTTAAACTTTTACTACATGTGTACGTGTCCCTTAATGATATGCACTATTGCTTTGCATAGTTTTAATTCACTCATAAAATTCTGCAGTTTGCTTTTTTTCATTCAACCATATGTTGTTGAAAGTTTTTCAAGCTGGTGTATGTAACTCCATGGGTCAGTCAGGGTTTCGTTAGGAACACAGAATGACTCTAGCAGAAGGGGAGTTCACATACAGGGCTGGAGGTGTCTATCACCGTTGGAAGGCCTGGGGAACAAAGGTCAGGAAAGCTGTCAGTGACTCTTGCCTCTGAATCTAAGAATCTAGGAGGTGACTGGTAACCCTCAAAGATATACTACACCGAAGCAAGTGAATTGCAAGGAATTGCCCATTGGGGCTAGTAAACTCACTCTTCCCATCAGCCACTGTAGCATAAAAACTCTCTTTTCCCTCTGCATTACAAACTCATGCACATGTCCCTCATTGGAAGACTAACCCAGAACCATACAGAAATGAGATTCAGGTTTTCCTCCTATAATGCATATGAAGAATGGCAATGATGCCAAGCTTGCTCTGGTTCAGGCTCACTCTAGTTCATTCATTTTCATGGCTGCAGTAAGTTGTTATCTCACTGAGGAATATGTCAGAATTTATTTATCCACTCCTCTACTGATGGACATTTAGACTGCTACTACTAAAAATGTTCAATGTTTGTACTGTCTGTGAATAAATACAAAGTTGATACTTCCTTTGCGGTTCTTATACCTTTTTTCTGCTTTCTTTTTTTACTCAGTAGTCTAAGCCCTTAGGACATGAATGGAAGAATGACAGGTATCTTATGTTGTTACATCAGTATAAAGGGACTGCCTTTGGTCATTTACCATCGGTATAACACTCACTGAAGGCCTTTGGATGACGCCCTTCATAGGATACAGAAACTCTACTCCTAACTTGTTAAATTATCCTATAAAAAATTGTGGTTGAATTTTCTTAAATGCCTTTATTGAATCTCTTTATCTACCGAAATGGTCATATTTTTTTCATCTGCTAATGTGGTGTATTGCATTATAGAGTTTCTAATGTCCCATCATCCCTGCATTCCCACATTACTCACAATTTCGTTACATATATCCATTCAAGATATGTATATATACACAAGATGTGTAACACGCACACTTTTTTGCCCAAATTTTTATTTATGCTTATGCATTAAAGTATAACTCTAGGAAACAATAATGCTATCTGTATGCAAAATAATGCCCTGGAATATGTTAACTGGTTTTATATATAAATTAAAAATTGAATTAAAAATTAAAATTTTTTCCTAAAAGTTTGAACCAAAAACATGGGTGTGCAGTATACATGGCAAAATATGGTATATGGCACAGCTTTACTTTCTTACATGGAGGTAAGAGAATCACAGCATCATAAGTAAAGTCCGGCACTTGGCACAAGAAGAGAAATTCATAGCCCCAGTCAAAATAAAGAATCACAGACTTACGAAGGTTTTCAAGCAACTCAAGTGTGGAGTTCAAGTAACAGACCTACCTGAGGACAAGCCCCAAATTATAAGTCATTAGAGAGACTTTCTCTCATCCACTCCTTTTCTCAGCACCCATTGAGATACCTCCCCATACAAACAGCCAGACTCTGCTCCGACTTCACCTTTCCCTTGCATGTAGTCTTGTACTGGTTCTGACCTGACGTGAGTCTCAGTTTCAAGCCTTCATCTTTCATGGGCCCACACCCCATCTCTGGTCCCCGGATGGCTGATCTAAGTGTCTCCCATCCCTAAGTAACTGAGCCCATCAATCTATGGCAGCATCGACTCATAAACCTACGTTCTGTTTTTTGGTTCCCCTTTCTATTTTGGCTTCTGGGATTTATTTACCACACTTTCTTGTGTACTCTGCAGTGTACATGAGAATATCTGTTTGCTCCTATCCAAAATTTCTAGATGTTTTGTAGCAAGTGTTTTCGGATCATCTAGTTTGCTGCTTTTCCAGAAACTAAAGTCTCTAAGGATACCTTCTTGACTTCAAAAAATTTCAAAGACCCCCCCCACACCCCCACATTCTATCATCATCATCATCATCATCACCATCTTTATCATCATCTTCTTCATCACCAAAGCTAAGATCTAATCAAAACATGTTCTAGGTACAGGCTAAATGGTTTACACAGATTAATTTTTAAATTTCCATAGTCCTATGAGGTAGATGGCCATTAGTTGTTATAATTCTATAATCAATTTGTGGAAAATAGCTGTGACATATTCAATATCACTTTCAAATAATATTTATACAATCACAATAGCACCTTGTATTTTTAAAATAGTCACATGTGTATATGTGAGATACAAAATTGATCTCACTGACAGACTCTGCTAGGTGAGCGTATGGATTCTGGACTGTCGTTACAATAAATTGCCATTCCTTCTCCCCTCTCCACTCCCCTCCACATGGGTCTGGGGTCCTGGGTTGAGATTCAGTGCTCTATACAAAACACAGAAAAACTGAATGGCTGCCATAGGCCAGGTACTGTTTTCTACAATGTTACCAATATCTCATTCAAAACGTGTAACTGAAATAGTACATTAAGACGGACAAGACTGTTTGTTCGGGATGGCACGAGCAGTCGATATGAGAGTCAGGACGCGACTCTGGGTCCCCAGCACTGACTGCTGTGCCCTCAACCACACCAGTGAGTCGCCTCTACGGTGTCTACCCGGTGCCCCGGTACAGAGGGAAGGTTGTGTATCGCACAGTTTTGGGGGGTGCCATTTACAATATTGTCATTAGACTCGTATACTTCTTTTGACAATTTCCCATCAGATGACAGTAAGTCATCTCAAAGAGAGTGTCCATTTTTCTAATTTAAGTAACGGCAATAGTTCGTAAATGATGCTCAGTGTTTGTGGTGGCTGTCGTTGTGGAAAAACTGCCACCTTCTATGAAATCCATTTCATTTAGTGGCATTAGTTGCCAGACATTTTCCATCACAAGCCAGAACCTAGCACTTTGAAACTTCCACTACTATTCTCATCCTTGTCCTGTGAAGCCTTGGAGAGTAAATGCGAGCCCACTAAGCCAGTGATTCTCAAATTCTCGTGCCCTAATTTTCTACCTGGGGAACTTTTAAGAGGCACATACCTCGATTAAGAACTTGAAGAACCTCACACCTAAAATTATGATTCAATATGTCTGAAATGGAAAACACGAGACTATATATTTGGCAAACACTGTGCACAACCCCCAAAAACACCACTGGCAGGCAGCTTTGCCTCCTCAATCTCTTATGCAGTTCAAACATTGTTTTTAATTTAGATTTCTTAACTCTAGCTCTCTTCAGAAGACACAATACAGATGTAAAGAACTCAAAAATTGCATTCCCTGAAACCTATAATTAGAAGATGAACATTCATTTGAGAAAGTAATTTCAGAATGACCCTTCAGAATGACTCCTCTGTCCTTTCATGATATTTGATTTGTATCCAGTTTCTTAGAACTTGTATTTTTGTGCATTAGAAACATATCTTTTATACAATGAAATGCTACACAGCAGAAAGAAAGAAGGAGCTCCTACCCTTCACAACAGCATGGATGGAACTGGAGAGCATTATGCTGAGTGGAATAAACCAGGCAGTGAAAGACAAATACCATATGATCTCACCTATAAGTGGAATCTAATCAACGCAACAAACAAGCAAGCAAAATATAACCAAAGACACTGAAATGAAGAACAAACTGACAGTAACCAGGGTCGGGGAGGGGAAGAAGGGGAAAGGTTGTCCAGGAACATGTACAAAGGACCCATGGACAAAGCCAAGGGGGGGAAGGATTTCAGGTGGGAGGTGGGGGTGGGTGGAGTGGGGGAGAGCAGTAGGGGGAAAAGGAAACAACTGTACTTGAACAATAAAAAAATATATATCTTTTATCAAAATATCCTGAAGATACCCTCTTACGATCAAGAGTCAACACAGCATAGTGGCTAAATGCCTGGACTTTGAGGGCAACACCACGAAGTTCAAAGTCACTTACTGTGTGACTTTGAGCAAGTTGGCTAAAGTAGTGAAAATGAATATGATGACTACATGTATCAACTTGAGTGAACCTCACAAACACAATACTGAGTTTTAAAAAGCGAGCTGCAGAAGAGCACACACACACAAAGTACGACACTACTGATATAAATGTAAACACAATCCTCTCTACTGCACAACAATACCAGTTTCTGTCTATGAATAAATGAATATTTATTATATATATGAAGCAGTTCCTTAGGTTCCCATTCATATCTGTAGAGCAACATGATCCATAATATATATAAATAACTCAAATATTGTAAGAAAAATCATCAAGAAGAGGACTAGCCAATCATCTCCCTCATCTCCTGAATTCTCTTAAACTGACACTAACTGGGAACTTGCCATGTGCCAGGAGCAGTTCTAAGTGCATTTTAAACAGGTAATAACTTATTGTCAGAGAAGGATATCTCTGCTCTGTAAGTCTATGAACCACAACATATTCAAAACATCAATAGCAATCTAACTATAAATCCTTTTAAAATAGTTTATCTAGCTTATTTTTTAAGATTTTTTTTTAGAGAGAGGAGAAGGGAGGGAGAAAGAGAGGAAGAGAAACATCAATGTAAGAGAGATCCATCCATCAGTTGCCTCTCTTACCCACCCCGACCAGGGACCAAACCTGCAACCCAGGCATGAGGTCTGACCAGGAATTTAACCAGTGATCTTTTGCTTTGTGGGATGATGCCAAACCAACTGAGCCATGCCAGTCAGGGCTATCTATCTTATTTTTAAAGCTGACTGTATATTTTTCTAAAGCAAAAGCAAAAGGTAGAAAAGTATCCCAGTAGCTCTAAATGTATGTAGAAATGATAAATTATCAAATTTTAAATATTCAAAATTCTTTCTATAACTTGCCATTACACATTTACAAATTTAACATTATTTACAATTAAAATTCATGTTTTAAACTATATTTTATCTGATAACAAAATACTGAGAGATTCTAAAACACTATTTCAGACAACTCAATAAAAATAAAAACAAAGTGTAAAGGGTGCTCACTAAGAAAATAAAATTAAGTCGAAGTCATTTTCAGCAGAATTTTCCCTCTGAGACAGAAAGAAAATAACTTGCATTGTTTGGGGCACAAATTGACACATTTTGGGACTTATGTGAAAGATAATTATATGTTTTATAGTTCTAAATTTCAAATAAAGAGCTCATTGTGTATTTCTAAAACAAAATATTTTGCAATACCTTTAACAGTGGCAGAATTTCCAGATCCCCGTCCGGAGTCCCATGGACTTCATCAGTCTCCTTCCTGAAAGATACATCTGAAGAGAAGGAAAGAGAGAGAAAAGAGGGAGGGGCAGAGAGGCGGGCAGGGAAGTGCAAGATGAGGAGGAGGAAAAGTGGGAAGAGGAGGAGGAGGGGGGAGGGGAGAGGAGGAGGAGGGGGGAGGGGAGAGGAAGAAAAAAGGGAAAGAAGGAAGGACCCCAAAAACAAAAGGAGAAAAATGAAAAGTGTACTATCATCATAAAAAAATTATGCTAAATTGGTTATCTTTTTAATTACCCAAGATTTTAGAAATGATGCAACATTTTAAGGTCTGACTAAATATCAATTTGTTTCTTCCACATAATTAATTTTTTGCTTTTTATAAGTTAATATAAAAGTGTCTTATAATACCACATAACAAATCAAGACTCTTGATTATCAACAGGACAAAATTAGGGTAAAGAACTGAGTGCTCCTTTCATAAAGTTGATTTAAAAGCTTTCAGAAAATAACAGTTCAAAAGCCTTATGAACCTAGAGAAATATCAGAGAAGGCTGTTTTGAATTAGAGAAATACAGGTTACAAATATTTATATGATGATGTTAGTATCCTGTTTTAAAATTTATCTAGTAATTTAAACTAAATAATGCATTACTTAATAAACAGCCTAACAGCATTTTGAAGCAGACTGCCATAATTAATATAAAAGAATGACTTGCACTTTATGTTTAATGTGCCAACAAGGTGATGAGAACAACAATTTTGGAAAAGTTACAAGAATTTATGTATCTACATGGGGACGACCCCTCATTACATAAATGTAGAAGTCTCCAAGTTCATAATGGATCTTGTTCCAATATTGACTAGTTTTTTAGCAATCAAACATTTTAACAAAAAAATCAATATGATACATTGTATATAGGCCACTTATAATTAAACAGAGTATAAAATACAACAATAGTAGCCCAAAAGTAACTAGTAAACAAAACATTAAAATTAAGTAAGTCAAGCAACAATGTCTAAAGGACACATGGACAAAGCCAAAGTGGGAAGGATTGAGGGTGGAAGGTGGGGATGGGTAGGGTCATGGGGGTTAGGAATGAGGGGAACCTGGAGACAACTATACTTTAACAGCAATAAAAAAAGTGAGTAAGAAAGAGATTTTTATTGCCTTTGCCAGATTGAGGAAATTCTCCTTTATTATTTGTTCAAATAAGTTTTCCACTGGTGGCTGTTCCTTTTCCCCTTGTGGTCCCCCTATAATTTGGATGTTGGAGCGTTTTACAGGCAAGAAGAGGCTGGAAAGAGGTATTCCAAGTCATGAAAACCAAAGACCTACAACCAAGATTGCTCTATCCAACAAAACTTTCATTTAGAATGGAAGGACAGATAAAGTGCTTCTCAGATAAGATCAAATTCAAGGAGTTCATCATCACCAAGCCCATTATATGAAATGTTAAAGGGACTTATCTAAGAAAAAGAAGATAAAAAATACGAACAGTGAAAGGACAGCAAACTCACAGTTATTAACAACCACATCTAAAACTAAAGCAAGCTGAAAGGACAGCTAGATCAGGAGCAGAAACCATAAAAATGAAGATCTCATGGAGGGTTAGCAACAGGGGAGTGGGAGGAGAAGGGGGGAGAAGGTACAGAAAATAAGTAGCATAGACGGTAGGTAGAAAATAGATGGGGGGAGGGCAATAATAGTATGGGAAATATAGAATCCAAAGAACTTGAGACACATGGTCATAAACTAAAGGGGGGAATGATAGGGGTGGGGGGCGCAGGGTGGAGGGGAATGAAGGGGGGGAATAGAACAACTGTAATGGCATAATCAATAAAATTAAAATTAAAATTTTAAAAAAAGAGATTTTTAAAAAAGAAAAGAAATCATCAGGCCTTTTGCTTCCAGAAAGAGGTAATCTAGAAAAATTCTCTTGCCTAGAGACAACTAGCAAAACTGGAAACTACAGGTTTATTTAATCTGTACACCATGGGGGTAGAGGGTAATGAATAATCAATACAAGGCCAGGACTTTGAGAAGAGAACATCACCTGCATCTTGGGAAGAAAGCCAAGGGAGTACAGAGTGGTACTTTTGACAGCTTTGACAAGCTACAGCAACGAGGATTAGTACCCAGGACCCACCAAGGGTGATAAGTCAGAAGGGGCTGCATCCTTGGAGTTAGAGTAAACTGAAAATAGGCCTTCAAAGACAGAGCATCTCAGCTTCAAATTATCTTGATCTCTCAAAGTGGAATAATGGGATCCTGGAGTAGCAGCGCCGTCATGCATCAAGCAAAAGCAAACATAAATCTTCTTTGGAAAGAAGATAACATCAACTACGGTCTCAAATTATTTCTATAAAATATTTAGCAAACATAATGTCTACCACACAATACAAACTAACTAAAGTAACCGAATAACTAATGTTCTTCACTGAAGAATTCAGTGTATTAAATGCAGAAGGAATGACCGCAGTTCGAAGCCCCTTCTGGCTTCTCACCCCCACTTCCTCCAGCAGCCCTCAACCAATAACACGTGAAAGTTGTATAAATACCCCCATCTCCCAGCTCTCTGGGGCATGGTCTGTGCATCTCGTGAACTTGCCGAGTTTTGTATTGGCTTCCTTTCCCCTGTCTTACTTTCCCACTCCACCACCGAGCGTCCCTGTACAACGAATGCCCCAAGCAAACTACTTCACTCAACTCCTTGTCTCAGAATCTGCTTCTGAGGAACCAACCTAGGAAACAGGCTGGGCTGACAACTCACTGATCAATCTTTACATCCCGGAAAGGGGGACAACGGGCATGATATGCTTCCTGACTCAATGCAGTAGAGATAAACAGCACCACTATGAAGTGTCTGGCCAAAAAAATAAGATATTGACAAGGGTTCTTTTTGACGAGGTATCACTTCAACCTAAGCAAACCTCTAGACCCAACGACCAGGTAGAGAAACGACTGAATTGATACCACAAGGATGCAAATAGCCAAATCCAGAATGTAGGAAATCCTACAGGGTAATGCAATGACTCAATGTCTTCAAAAATTAGCTTGAAAAGCGTTTGAGGAGAAGAGGAGCTATTATAGATTAGCAAGAAAGAACAGACGTATAAGAAAATAAAAAGCATGAGCTTGCTTGGATTTTGATTGGAACAAACGGACTTAAGGTATTTATACTACAATAAGAAACATAAAAATTTTCAAAAATCATATAGGATATAATAATAATGGCTTTGTGGTTTTATAAGAAAAATGTTAGACCAACAGACAGAAAGACAGACACCCATATACGATACATATATGTACACACACACTGAGGTATTTTGAGGTATTTGCTGGTGGAATGACATGATGCTGCTGTAAAACACTTCAGGAGAAAGGCAAGTGTTGCAGTGAGAGATGAAATGAAATAAGATTGACAAGATGTTGATAATTATAAGTATTGGATGATGCATACGTGATGATTTATTTTCTCTCTCCACTCTCTAACTGAAATTCTACACATACATATAAGATGGACATATATGATACATATATATTATATCACCCCTTTTCATTTGTTATTTTACCTGTAGGTTTTTTTAATTTTCTCCTTGGATTTCCTAGCAACTCCAGTATCTCACTTAATCGTAACGCGACCTCTGCCACCACCACCACATCAAAGTCTTCCATTTTATAGTGGTGAATTACTTCATTTATTTGCCACAGAAGATAAACCCACTGAAAAGAAAAAAACATCAAAAAAGAGAAAATATACAGCAAATCAAAGTAAATCATATTACATTGTAGAAAGAGTCACACTGTTCAAAACCTAGTACTTCCTTGAAATTGCCACTTGCTAATTATATGAAAATGTGATAAAGATACCCCTTCCTTATTAGTACATCTTAACTATAAATAATATAAAGTTCAATGATCCTAATAAGATTACGTTTAATAATAAATATGTTTATGTAAGTTCATAAATAAGACTTGCTTACACTTATGGTCTGCATTACAGCCATAAGGAAAGGTTATCATGTTGTCTTTACATATCAGTGAAGATTATCCTCAAAATTCTCATTGCTCTTCCTAAAAAAGAACTGTTATGATCACTAGCAAAGTCCTTCAAAACAGTGAGGGGGAAGCAGGTGTTTTAGCTTCCACGCTAGGGGCCTTGAACACTGTCTTTCAACCATGTCCCCAAAGCTTAGCACAAAATTAGGCACCACAGTTTGGGAGCTAAGATGAGCCGGTAATATCCATGCACCCCACCATTACTTCGTCAGAAAATGTGATGGAACCACATCTGTGCATTCTACTGTGGCCCATCTCAGGGGGCCTGAGAATCAGCGGAGACTGTGTTGTTGCTAAAATGTTTTCTCCTACGTTTCTGGGTTCTAATATTCACTTGCTCAACTTTTTTATTCCTATGAATAGCTCTTTAAAATAGTCTAAGTAGATGACTGCAGGAAAAGAGTCTGACACTCCTTACTTACTTGCATTTTCTAATATCAACTTTCTTAAATTTACCCAAGATCATGTGACCTTAGACACACCATAATTTTTCCTCCCTTAAAAATCCGAATCACCTCCCTTCCCTACAACTAAACTGGTAGAAGAACAGGGAATACATGAAAGGAAAAGCTCACTCAGCAATATGTTTCTAAAAATGGTAGTTACACAGATGGATAATTGGGGATAATTTAAATATCTCAATTTCATTATTAATAACAAAAAGTGTCAAAAAAACAAAGAGGAATACTTTATTAGTACTGATTTTCTGGGTGAATTTTGCATAGTCTTTTCCAGACATATTGATCCGATGAGTTCCTAATTTGCATTTCTGCCATAAGAACATTATCATGTCCACCACGATTTCTTTATCAGGCTGAACATTCTGAAAACAAAAGCAGTAAAATTAGTGAAGAAGAATAAGGCAGAGAATTTGTCATGTGACCAACGTTGGTCACTTATGTCTGCCTCACTTATTTCTTTATACATCTTGTTTTAAATAATCAGATAAAATAAAACATAATACTAAAATGTATAAATGGTGACATTTAAAGTATTTCAGGCAACATTCTAAGAGCTGTGTGTGTGTGTGTGTGTGTGTATTTTACAATGGACTGCTTGTGTCTTCAAATCCTGTGTTGCAATTCTAACTCCCCGTGTGAGCACACTGGGAGGTAAGGCCTTCAGGAGGTAATGACGCACGAGGATGCGGCCCCCACGGACCGGAGTCGTGCCCCTATAAGAGGGACTCTCAGAGTCTCTCACTGTTTGCACCAAGTGAGAACACAGGGAGAAGACAGCCATCTATGAACCAGAGGTGAGTCCTCGCCAGACCCCAAATCTGCTGGTGCCTTAATCTTGGATTTCTCTACCTCCCTAACTATAAAAAATAAATGTTTGTTGTTTAAGCCATCCGGTCAGTGGCAGGGATCCCCAACCCCCAGAGCCATGGTCTGTGGCCTATTAGGAACCAGGCCACACAGCAGAAGGTGAGCGGGAGGCGAACAAGCAAAGCTTCATCTGTATTTACAGCCGCTCCCCATCGTTCACTTTACCTCCTAAGCTCCATCCACCCCCCCACCTCAGCCTCTCCACTGTCCATGGAAAATCTGTCTCCCAAGAAACTGGTTTCTGGTGCCAAACGGTTCAGGACTGCTGCTCAATGGCATTTTTCGTCATATCAGCCTGAACAGACTAATACATACACCAAATCCTTTAATCCTCGTAACAACCTATGAGGTCTGTACCATCCCATCACCCCCAATTTATTACCACCCTCACTTCACAGACAAGCAAGCTGAAGCACAAGAAGATTGGTTTTTTTTCCAAAGATGAAGTGAATAGAAAGTAGCAGAGTTGAGATTCAAAATCGTGCTGTCTAGCTCCAGAGACCTCAGTCTTAAGGAATGCCCTAGGCTACTTCTGTCTCTCTAAAGAGAAGTCTGTAACAGCTTTAGGTAGTATGTAAACCAAACTTGAAATGTTTATATACTCTTTCCATTTAAAAGACCTATATTATCATAATAAAGAATGGGGGCGTGAACTAACAAGAGGACAGGAAGTGGGAGGTGGGAAAGGATATAGACCTGGGGAAAGAGACAGGAAGAAATTAACCAGAATGTCCCACTGGGTGTCCACAGACGACCCAGAACAAGTATATCTCCTGTCAAATCAGCTACTTGTCTTTCTTCAAAGAAATATAAGGTTACCGATTATATCTGAACTATAAAGATAATGAGTTTACGATTAAAACAAATAAAACTGAGCTCCTTTGGGGCAGCTCTAAGATTTAACTTGTAGGTGGAGCACCTTTAGTACAGGGTTTGAGAACTTAACAGAGGTCAGTAAACATTTACTGAATCGAACTGAACTGAACTAAATTAACACATGCACGGTTTTCTAAAAAGCAGATGGGTAAAAAATCCCTTGCTCTGTCCAGCCTTGATTAAAAGTTTTTGGGTCAGCTGTCTCAGTATGATCATTATATTTACTACCAGGTATCTTGTTTTCAAAGTTAAATACCTGTCCCAGGTTATAACATAATCTAATAACTCAGAAGAAATAGAAAACACTTTTACAGTAGAACTTCTCAAGCCTCTCACTGTGTTTCACTTACGTGAACAGAAGTTAATGCAATGCTCTATAGTTGTGGTTTTCAAGCAATTTTATAACAGTAAAATCAAATTTTCAAATAAAATTCCATCAGAATCTCAACTAATAAAAACTAAATAAAGCAGGTCAGGGTGTTACTACCCAAACCTGGGCACCTGAGGAAAACCTCAGAGAAGGCCTGGAGATCCCCGGAATTTGGTTTTAAAATCAGCACTGTGCTAGCTTTACTTAAACATGAACACCTACAAATAGGTCACTTCTAAATCCTCCACCGTGTCCAGTGTGACTCCTAGTAACAACCAGGCTTCGTGCTCATGCACTGAAAGTGGTGAGAATATTTATTAACTGTATGTTAAAACCACTGCCTCCTTTACTTCACCATTAGACATACAGGTAGCCTGAAACTTTCCCCAAAAGAAACAGACTGACACTTAAAATGATGATAATAATAAAAAGAGACTTCAAATTACAAGTCAGGATATAACTTAATCCCTATGATAGAAATTAAAAATATGGAATTTTTGGTAAAGCCCAATTCTTGTGACATTTTAATTCTGACTTAAATTAGGTTTAATAGCCTCCTTTAACAATACTACTAAAATTATCCAAATAACTATTTCACCTGGGGAGAGGTGCAGACACAGGAATACAGGGTTGTTGCTAAGTGGAAAATGTCTTCTGAACATCCATAAGTTTTCGCATAAGTATCTCCATTCATAAAGCAAAGGAAAATAAGGCAAAGAGTCAATTACAAAATTCTCAATAGAGAAAGCACAGAAATTCCACTAAAAATGACACAAATGATATCTGAGCAAATATTATGTCAGTAAGATACTTCAGATGCTTCTATATGAAAACTACTCAAAGGGGGCTCCAATTAAAATAGACTGAGATCATTGTTATTATTATCCTCATAAATCTATTGTACAATCTGTGCCAAATATGTCCAGAATGGAAGTGAAGAGGCTTATAACATTAAAACATACAAAACATGGCAGTTGAAATAAAAATAACAAACATATACATTAAAAACCCAGTAGAAAAAAATACCATTACTTAATACAAATTATTTACTATAACTGGGCAGCCAAACTATGCCCTAAGAACATGATAAATCGTTAAAAACGTGGGATTAAATTGTTCTCATGAGTCTAAAAAATAGAGGCTGCATTTTTCAATTACATAAACAGTAACTTTTTGTCCTAGCTGGTGTAACTCAGTGGATTGAGGGACAGCCTGCAAACCATACGGTTGCTGAATTGCAACCCAGTCAGGTGGGCCAGGTCCCCAGCTGGGCTGCAGGCAGGTGCCTGGGTTGCAGGCCAGGTCCCCAGTTCAGTGGCGCACAAGAGGCAACCACACACTGATGTTCTCTCCCCCTCTATCTCCCTCCCTTCCCCTCTCTCTAAAGATAAATAATAAAATCTTTTAAAAAAACAATAACATTTTTTTCCATTTAGGATTTTTTCATTCTAAGCATCAACAACAAAATATACAAGCAGGCAACTTCCAGCTTACTACAAGCTTAAATGTTCAGTGGTACAGTTGACATCACGCACAGCTCAATCCAAAATGCAAATTATTTCACCCAGAGCCATCAAGAGATCATTCCCCTGGGTTGAGTTTTCTTTTTTAGGATCTTACTGGAAACCCCTGGGTACCTTCAGTCTTACAGTGCTTAAATCCAGGGGGAGCATTAAAACAATAACATTTTTAGCTTAAAAAAAGTACTAAAAGGGAAAACTCTGCATGCTGGAAAGAGAGAAGAGACCACCAAACCTTCCCTTACCAAAGTAAACTAATGGCTTTTGATTTACTGCCTTGCTGGTCTCTCACCTACCCACAAACAGCTGAGAAGAAGCTCCTTCTGCTACTCAAAACCACCGCTCAGAATAAAACCCATCACCTTTACAAGGCCCAGGGCCCTGCAAGATCAGGCACCGTTATTTCTCTGACCTCATCTCCTCCACATCCTCGGATTCCATCATCACCACAGTGCACTCCAGCCATACGCGCCTCCTTGGCTCTTCCTCCTACAACCAAGTACCTCAGGACCTTTGTACTTGCTGCTCTCACTGCCTTGAACATTCTCTCACCTCACCCACAAAGAGCATATTTTATCGGAGAAAATTATCTTAATTTTTTAAGAAGGCAAATAAATACTCACCATGAAAAGCAAGTTTTCTAATGTAAAAAGCTGACTGTCCTTCTTTGTAGTTCTCTAAAGGAAGTATCAACCCTTTGTTCTTCTTTACGTTGATTACAGGTTCTATCGCGAGAAGAAGAGTTAAATCCTTCTCTGCTTTCTTTGACTCCGGATCATCCTGGCCCTAGGAGAAGTGTATCCCACAATGTAATCAGTAATTCCAAGTCACCTTAACAATATAAAAACAAATGAATGATTTTGCACATATTACCTGGAGAAAATCAATAAGCTGACCAGCTGCAGATTCAAATAAACTCCATTCCTCATAGGTAAAAGCTAATTTTATAAATTTCACAGCAGCATCCAAAGAAACAACATTTTTTCTTTTTATAACAAGTTCCAGAAGAGAGGTTCGTGGAAAACCAAGCGTTCCATCTACACCACTGTGTGACACTAGGAAAGGAAAGATAGGAGTTTGAACGTCACTTGTGCAAAGAAATTTTTACTAAATACTATTAGCCACTGTCAGACAATAGGGTAACAATGGAAAAGAAACAGAGTCCAGGCCTTCACAGAACTTACACCACTGGGGGGAGCAAGTAATCTTAGCGGGCGAATTCAGGGTGCTGTGCAAACAGATCAGAAGGGCATCAGATACACGGCTTAGGCTACGAGAGCGGCCGGGGAAGTCTCATGGGATGTCAAGCATGGAGAATTAGCAAGAGTTAACTAGTTGAATAGGCAGCCAGACATTACAGACTGAAAGCTCGGGAAAGGGATCAAAACTAGGGATATAGCTTTTATGGTCCTCATTATTTATCCACGGTAAGTGATAGGATTCGCCATGGGCCACACACAGCTGCCTGGGACAGAATGGTAAGGAACACTGACCCGTAAGAAAAGGGAAGAGGGAGGAGCGGCAGCAAAGAAGAACGTCTGGAGATAATGTTTGTAGTCAACAGCTACGAACACTACAGAGAGTGAAGGGGAAAGAGCACTGAAGAGTGACCCCTGTGTAGGGCAACAAGCAGAGTGTCAGGGCACTCTCAGGGGTGCGCTAAGGACAAAAGACTGCTTGTACGCAAGCAGGAAGAACAACTGGGGACAGTGAAAAACAGGCAATTTTCCAATAAATCTGACTATAACAAGAGGAAGAAAGAGAGGAAGTTGAAAGAAGACATGAAGGGTTTGGAGACATTAGGTTTAAAAATCTAAAAAGGAACAACCCTTACATTTTAATAAGAGAGGTGGAAAAAATGGGTTCAGATGAAGGTAAATTTTCAGGTTGGGGCGAAGGAAGTCAAGGGAATTCTTATCTGCAATCTTGTATGTGCCCTGTGAAGATGAGCCCCAACTGGCACAGGGGCTCCCTGCCCTCACACGGCATGGGCACGCAAGTCCACACGCACGTCCTGAGCTCACTTACAAGTACACCAGCTGAGGCTGGGGTTTTAGCTGTCACCCTCCTTCCGGGCAGACGTTATCACCAACTCAGCTCATGTTCCAAAGTGACAGAAGGTAGGCTCATGAGCAAAGAAAATTAAAAAGCACAAACGCCTTGAAACAAAAGCCACAAAGGACATCCTTTACCAAAGGAAGCATAAAAATGGAACGGAGTGAACAACTTCAGCTTAATAAGTATTCTCTCAAGGAAAGAAGAGAATACTGGAAACACTAAGCAAGAGTAAACTACTGTAGAAGAGAATCAAGTGGATGCTTGGTATAAAGTATGTTACTACTGAAACAGAATTCAATCGACGGATGGAATAGAACAGTAAGAATCAAAGAACAAATTAGTGATGTAGAAAGTCAGATTGAGGCATCTTCTCAGAAGCCAACAAAAAGGAGTACAGACAAAGATAATACAATAAATAAGATATGGAGAGTGGATGTGTTAACATTTGTCTATTAGGACCCTTGGAGAATTAAGAAAAGTGAACATAACAGTAGGAGTGAAGAAGTAACATGAAAAAATTAAAGATGTAAGACCTCAAAGTACCTTCTGTATGATCAAACCAATGCCTAGACCCAGTATAATGAAATGTAAGAACATCAATAAGAGAAAAATGTAAAAGCTAAATCCATAAAACAAGATTCAAACAGACTTCTCAACACCATATGCAAGATTATGGAGAAATATCTCCAAAATTTTAAGAGGAACAAATTCTTAGGCAAAAATTATACCCAGCAAAACTCTTTTGAAGTTCTTAAAGTTTGTATCTGAGCATAAAGAAATTAATTTACGCAGAATTAGTCAAAAAGTAAGTAAGGATGAGGGAAAACCTTAATATATTTACTATCTTAAAAAGCAGCCCTGGCTGGTGTAGCTCAGTGGCTTGAGCACAGGCCTATGAAGCAAAGGGTTGCTGGTTCGATTCCCAGTCAGGGCGGCACATGTTTGGGTTGCAGGCCAGGTCCCCAGCGGGGAACACATGAGAGGCAACCACACTATGTTTCTCTCCCACTATTTCTCCCTCCCATCCCCTCTCTCTAAAAATAAATAAATTATTTTTTTAAAGCAGTGACAAGGGCTTGTATCTAGGACACGCAAAGAACTCTCAAAGTGCAACATAAAAAATGAACAATGCAATAAGAAAGCAGGCAAAAGACGCTGAAGAGGAAGATGGCCTAAAGATGGCAAGTGAAAAGATAAGCATGTGGAAAGACGTTCAGCATCATTAACCACCAGGGAAAAGCAAAGCCACAGTCAGTATCACTATACATCTCTCAGGATGGCTAGAAAAAAGCGATAACATCAAATACTGCCAAGGATGCTATGAAACTGGACCATTCACAACACTGTTCATCGGGATGCAGAATTGGAAAACAGCATGGCAGTTTCTCACAAAACTAAACATACCCTTAGCAAGTGACTCAACAATTGTACTCTTGAGCACTTATCCCAGAGAAATGAAAACTCCTGTTCACACGAAGACCTGTACTCAACTGTTCACAGTGGCTTTATTCCTAATAGCCCACAACTGGCAACAACTCAAAGGTCCTTCAACAGGTGAATAGTTAAACAAACTAGGACACATGGATTACTACTCTGCAATACTAAGAAATGAATTATTAATACACACAACAACTTGAATACATCTCAAGGGAACTATGTTAAGTGAAAAAGTCACATGGTCACCTCGTTTTCGACAAAGGGATACTATAGTCAATGGGAAAAGGAGGCTCTCTGCAATAAATGGTGCCGTATCAACTGCATATTATACAGAAATACACGAATCTTGATTTCTCATGCCAGTAAAAAGGATCTAAATTTAGACCTAATGTGAGAGGTAAAATAAAGTTTCCAGAAGAAAACATAGAAATATACCTTTATGATACTGGGGTAACAGAGATTTCTGAAGTATGACACAAAAAATGGGTAGCTAAAAAGGATATGTTGGTAAATTAGACTACATTAAAATTAAGAATTCCTGTTGCAGTTAAAGACTAAGTGGAAAAGTGAACCAGACCACAAAGAACGAGGAAGCAAAAACTGTGCCTGGAGAATCCATACTCACAAGCCATATCTGGGGCCCCGCTTCACAACAGACTATGTGTAACCTCAAAATAAAGCATAGAAAGACATCTCTAGGCTTTTATCTTCATATCTACCAGGCCGGCAAATTTAAAAAATGAGAATGCTGAGTATCGGACAAAACAAGGAACAACAGGAACTGTCATTCACTGATCTCAAGCATCAACTTTGGGAAGCAATTCTGCATTATCTGGTAAAGTCATAGGTCAATTCTAAACAATATTGATTTCATTCCACTGCCAACTCTATACCCTTGAAAACCCTCTGAACCTCTGTTCTAAGGAGTATGCACAAAAATACTCTTTGTAACATAAAGTAGCAATAGCCCCAAACCGGAAGCAGTGTGGATCCACTCACAGAAGACTGGATCAGAGGAAAATTTGTGTAACAGAACATTACAGCAGAGAAAAGGAATGAATTATAGCTGCAGATCCCGGCACAAACATCCTGCAGAGTAATAAAAAGCTCAAAATATGCATTAAGATTGCATTTCCCTTCACAGTCTCACCATAGTTTATAAGATAAAACCAGGACTGGATCCCTACTTACCCATGTCCTATATCCAGGCTGCAGGTTCTCAAACCCATAACTACATTCTATTTACAATTATACTCATAGAACCTAAGAGACCACTAGACATAACAAGGATAGCCATCAAATGAATGAATACATTTTGAACACACACACACACAAAAGGAAAACAAATTCCTGTTCCCTAATTAAGAGGATGAAAAGGCAAGCCACCAGCATATGTAGTCAAGAAAAATGTGTATCCAGAATCTATAAAAAATTCCTAAACCAGTCACAAAAAAAGCAAAGAATCCAACAGAAAAAGGGAGAAAGACCTTGCTGGTTTGCAAACTGGGCCCAGTAAACAGAAGTCAAGGAGAGGACAAAGAAAGAGGCAGACCTTCATGTGGGTAGGTGACAGTTTTAATAAATGCAGGGACTTACTTACGAATCTTGTCTCAGGTGGCCAAACGATGAGGGTATTTCCATACCCGCCCACCAGAAATTTATATATAGAGACCTCCACTGTCAATCATACACTGGCCAGATGGTCTCAAGAACACCCGAGTCTCTCGAAGCTGTACCCTTGAAATGGCTGCTAGTACGGGAACAGTAGGCGGGACATGCAGTCCAAGGACAGGGTAGGGGTTAAAGAGCCTCTGACTGTCAGGGTCCAGCTCACAAGTCAACCAGTGGTCACAGCCCCTCAGTGATCTCCAGTAGGACCTGAACAGGCGCTTCACAGTGCACAATATCCAAGTGGTAGAGAAAAGTATGAAAAGTGCTCAACTCAACTTCAGCAGTCATCAGAGAAATGCAAATTTATTCCTTAATGGAATATTAACTGAATTCACATGAGAATAGACAAGATTAAAAAACATCATCAGAATCTGGGGCAACTAAAATGCTCATAAAATGATGATGGGAGTGTAAACTGGTAAAATATCACTTTGGAAAACAGTATCCGCTACAGAAAAACATACACATACCCTACATTGTAACAAAGTTCCACACAAACAGAAACGCACAGCAAATTATGTTAACACGTCTCTCTCAGCAATTTACAAAACAAACAACGAATCAGTAGGAATAGAGAGGATTTAACTACACTATTTACAAACTTAACATATATAATGTATAAAGCAATGCAGCCAACAACAAAGAATACATAATCTTCTCAAGTACGTGTAGATTACTTACTCAAACTGATCACAATTTAGGCCATAAATCAACATCTCAACAAATTTCAATGGTTTCAAATAATACAGAGCCTGCTTCTCTGACCACGAAATAATTAAGCTAGAAATCAGTAATAAAAATAAATTTTAGAAAGTCTCCATATGTTTTGACTCATCACACATATACACAGATGAAATCACAATAAGAATTACAAAATATTCTTAACTAAATGGTAATGAAAGTATGATACATCAAAGCTTTAGGTACATAGCTACAGCTGAATTTAGAGAAAAATGCCTTAATATGGAAATACTCAATAAGGAGAAATTCTGAAAATCAATGATCTAAGCCTCCAAGTCAATAAATTTCTTTTAAATCAGCAAAATAAAGCCAACAAAGTAAAATAATGAAAATAATAAAGAACGGAAATTATTAATATGAAAAATAAATTAACAGTAAAGAGGATAAACAAAGTTAAATATTGTTCTTTGAAAAGACTAATGAAATTGGTAGACTCCTGGTAAAACTCAAGAAATGAGAGAAAAAGCAAAATTGCCACCATCAGAAATGAAAAAGGGGGCCTCACCCCACTACAGACCTTACAGATATTACAAAGATCATAACTGGAATTAAAAATTTAACTAAAATTTGAAAACATAAGATAAAATAAAAAATTTTCAGGGGAAGTACAGTATACCAAACTGATAGATTTTTTTAATAGGAAGAAAGCCTAGGTCATTTTATATCTATGGAAGAAATTTAATTTCTGATTAAAAACCTCTCCACAAAGAAAATTCCAGATCCAAATGGCTTAACCAAACATTTGGTGAAAAATAATACCAATCTGACCCCAACTCTCCCAGATACTAATAACAGAGAAAGAGGGTATACATTTCGGTTCCTTTTATGAGGCCAACATGACTTTGATAGCAAATCTAAAAAGGACTTTGCAAGAAAATCTCTCTCATGAACAGAGAGGCAGAAATATTACAGATTAGCAAAAAAAAAAATCAAGCATTAAATCAAAAGAATTATCCTCGCCTCCACATCAGTTTATTCCAAAAATACAGGGAACTTAAAGTCTAGGTAAGCAATCAATGTAATTCACATTAACAGATAGAAAAGAGAGAAGCCATTTGATCAACTCAAGGTCCAGAAAAGGCCTGTGATAAAAATTCAACAACTATTTATGGTTAAAAACAAAACTCTTAGCAAACCAAGAATAAAACCAAACTCCTTAATTGATAAAAGGGTATCTTGTTAAAAAATCCTTTAGCAAACATCAAAACAAATGGTAATATGTTGAAAGCTTTCTATTATTTGGTTATAAATTAGACAGGCATCTGCTGTTAGCACTTTCATTCCATGTTTTATTGGAGATCCTATTCAGTGCAATAGATCAAGAAATGTAAGAAAGAATAAATAAATTTTTTAAGTAGAAAGAAATATAATTGTCATTATGCACAAATGATTGTATATATAAAAATCCAAAAGAAAATCCACTAATAAATTATTTGAACTATTAATTGAATTTAGCAAGCTTGCTGAATTCGAGATTAATAAAAGTTGGATATGAGCTCATGTGTGATCCACCACACTAAAAACTTCTCTTACTCTTGTTCTACAATAAAATAGCATTTTAATAACTTAGTTACTCATTAAAAGTTCTCTTCCTGCTAAGAAGAGTTCTGAGACAACATCCCGAACTTCCACTTCATCTGTAACAACGGGTCCAACTTGGAGTGTTCGCCTATTTGCATCAGAAAGAGCCTCCAAGACGGCCAGAAACCGGGCCGCGGTGCTGTCGAACAACTCGTCCAACAAGCGTTCTGTGACAGTGCGTGGCCAAGGCAACTGGAATTAAAAAAAAAAATACAGTCTATTTTAAAAAGTTCTATAATGTCTGCTATTATTACACAAACTGAGACATGCTTAATTATTGCTAAAAGAGACAGTGGTTAATCTATCAACGAGATGGCTGCTTTTACGCTTTTCATTGTTTGAGGTGTTATTCCAGACTCCATTAAGGTTTATGTTGTGTTGCCATTACATCAAAGACTTCGCTATTTTTTCTTTACCTGTTTGCATTTCTGAGGCAGCATAAAAAGGCTGTTTATGACTACCTTTTTACTAGGGCAGCATCAATTGCCAGATGCTTTGTGACACCTTCATTACCACATGTGGTACCCTTAGGAAATGATAGTCAAACTTCAGTTGCCTGAGAATCTCTCAGGAGTGCTTTTTAGATTCACAGACCACCTCTCCAGAGAGGCAATGGGCCTAAGTGAGACATTTTTAATAATCACTGCAGGAAATTCTGATGCAGGGCCCTCAAACCCAAACTTGAAACAATATTTTATAGTATAAATAACTGGTCTCATGTTGACCAGCTGTCTACTAATGAGCTAGTGACTGTTAAGAGCCCTGTGTGAATTCCCAGCCATTCTGCTTTGTATCAGCCTGGAATGGCTTCACCTCCTGACAAATTACCTGGAACTAAGAAAGGCAGCTCTGGGCGGCTCTCCTGGAATCCCTGTCCAGGTAGAACATACCTGTCACATTCCCCATGATTCCTTTGCTACTTTCCTCTTCTTGGGGCAAAGTCAGAAAGACAGAAAAACAAAAGCAGAAATAAAACCCAAATAGATTAGAGCGAACTTGCTTTTTAAAATATCATAGGAAACCTAGCAAAAAAACAGAAGAGAATATCAGAGCTATAGATGAATACTAAGCAAAGGATTTTAAAATATAAAAATTTTTAAGATCTATAAAAAAGATGTAAAGTCAAAGCAATGAAAATGGCTTGTCAAGCATGACGAGCAAAATATTAATGTCTAAAAAAACAATGAATTCATTCAAATATATTGAAAAAAATTAAATGCTCTAGTAGAAAGATTATCTTTCAAAGACTGAAAAATAATTCACACACAAAAAGAAAGTAAACACAAATATAAGGGAAAGTTGAATATAAAAAGTAAAATTAAAACAAGCCATTTTACTGAAAATGAATGATAAAAAATAAAGAAATGATGTCAAAATAGTAATAGTTTATGGGAGAATTGGTACATGCCGGTTGTCACCCTGGAGAACCTATTTTGGAAATTAATTTAGCAAGATATATCAAGAGAAATAAAAGTATAGCCTCTGATTCAAATCCTACACCTTGGATGTTATACACAGGAAATTAAAGAAAGAAAATATATATACTTGAAGATGCTGATTATAGCAATATTTATAACAGCAAAGAATTGGAAACAACTAAAATAATAGTTACAAAAATACTAGACAAATTCTGGTACATATACTTCATAGGGTATGTAAGATCATTGTTAAAAAATGTCAGCACAGATGAGAAGCTGAATCACACAATCCATAAAGTCTGTCCCACTTCTAAACACTATGATTTCCATGACATTTACTCCAAAGATGCATTATGCTAATTTCCCGACATAGTACACCCACCCCAGTCAAGTTTCTCACTGTCCCCAGTAAACTTCGCTCACTCCTGCTTCCAAGTTATGATCCTGTTCTAATCCTTTACTTAGACTGTTTCCCCCTCTTTTGCTGCCTGGTCAAATCCTGCTCATTATTCTAAAGCCATTCAAGAAGACAGAACTGCAGGTGAAGTCTTTTCTGTATTCTGCCATACTTGAGACAACAGTAAGTGTTCAGTATATGGCCATAACAGTGAATGAATGAAAAATAAACAAGAGCCATAGCTAATATTTACTGAGGACCTACTACATGCCAGGAACATTCTCAGGGCTTTACATCAACTCATTTAATCACTACCATTATTTCCTCCTTAATACTCAAGACAAGCTACAATTATTTTATTTATTATGTAATTTCTCCACTAGAATGTAATCTTCATCTATCTTGTTCACATAGCAGTTACCTTACAAATATTTATTGAATGAATCACTAAAGAGTTAATCAGTAGGAGTCTCAATCCACAGTCTTTTTTTTTTTAAGATTTTATTTATTTATCTTTAGAGGGGAAAGGGGAAGGAGAGAGGGAGAGAAACATCAATGTATGGTTGCCTTTTGTGCATCCCCTGCTGGGAACTGGCCTGCAGGGAACTGGCCTGCAACCCAGGAATGTGCCCTGACTGGGAATAGAACCGCAACCCTGTGGTTCGCAGGCCCGTGCTCAATCCACTGTGCTACACCAGCCAGGGCTAAATCCACAGTCTTTAAAAGAATCCTTTGCGAGTCATAATGGTTTACTGAGTTATTGACTTAAAAACTCAAAAATGTTTTGTAAAATAAATTTAATACAAATTAAAATTTATTTTATAAGAAACAATAAAATTACTCCATACACATAAAGCAGAACAATTCTTCCAACTATATATCAAGATAATATACTATGACTTCATAGAAAGGGTCATGTCCATTATTCTCTATAAAAGCTACCCACTACACAATTACAACTTTCCCCTAAAAAGATATACCACCAGAAATTTCCATATAATAATTATCTTAAAGAAAACCAGAAATAAATCATATTTAATGTAATGTTACCTGGAATTTTAAATATTTTTATTTGAAAATATATTTAATTTTCATACCAGGATGATTACAAATCAAGTCCTAATAATATGCTAATTAATGGCAATCTTGCAGCTTTGAATACTTAAATCTGGTTTGCTCAGAGGAAAATAAAATGCTAGTGAGAAAGAAAGAATTGTCCCCTGCTCTTACAAACACAGTAGTATACTACTTAGCAATACCAGATACTGACATTTCAATAGCTTATCCATGAAATTATCTGTAATTTGGGAAGTCACCACCCACCAATTAATCATACACCCCTGGTGGGTGAGGGGATAGGACTTAAAAGGGCAATATGAAATGCACTCTGGGCTCCATCACCGGTATATCAGAGTCACACCAAGTAGCAATAGACAGCTACAATACCCAAATAATACCTGAATTTAAATATTGATTTATCTAAAATTTTTTTAAAAGAGGAAATTACTCCTAAATGATATAAGAAAAAATGAGTTAAGAGAACAGCAGTCACTGTCGCAGTGAGAAAGCCCTGGAGAGGGCTCTGGTCCTGGGGCTGCCAGCAGCTGCCCTCGTGACCTTGAGCCAGTACCATAAATCCTCTGGGATGCATTTTCCCCACCTGTAATAGACAAGGACTGAACCACTGGGGTGACTCCTAAAATCCCTCCCACACCCTGAGATTCCACTGCTCTTCTGTCCAAACTACTCATATTCTTCCCCCTCGTTTACATTTTCAGTCCCTACGAAGAAGCTCACAGAAGAGGGTGTGGCCACTAGAACAGTCAGGGAAGGCTTCAAAGAAATACAGAATTAACCTGAAAGAACACTGAGTTTCAGAAAGGCAAAGAAAGGCAGTGGGAAAGGAGAAAGGAAGGAGGGAGGAAAGGCAGAGGGCCCCTGAAGTAGGTCCCAGCTCCCTCCTGTGACGCCCTCAGTGCTGTTCGCCAAATACATGTGAGGCTGGAAGAGCCCGTGTCGTGAGGTCTGACACGTGAAAGGCACACACCGCCATCACTTCCACGCTGGGTGTTACTGCCTGGGTGAGATCCTCCAAAGCTCTTATTGCCCCTCTGACAGGATAACCAGCAATTTGCGAAATGAGGTCTGCTCCTCAACCTGGCCCTGAGCAGCAGTCATGAGCAGAACCCCAATAACCCAGAATAACTTGATTCTAATGGGAAACAAATGGTTGTTTGGAGCCACCAAGATATGGGGGTAGTTCACTGCTACACTATGACCTGGTTCCTAAACACTCCCAAAAGTGCAACCTGAAGCAGATGAGAAAAGGTGCCTCTACCTTCTCTCCAACCTCAAAACCTTCTCAGCTAGCACCAAGCAGTCAAAGACAAAGGCCCCTACAGAATCACTCAGAGGCCTGTGCACTTGAACCTTCCCCAGGAGCTTCTTTAGCTCCTTGTCCTTTGAAGTTACAGAACTGGGATTGTGTGAAGGCACAAAAGCTTTGAGACAGGGTTGACGTAAGGTCGTGTCCAAGTCAGGAAGGTATTCTCTCTGTTTGCTGCTGGTGCAGAGAGTAAGATGCAGGGTCTAATGTTCAGTGACCAAGCTTACAAAATACAGTGGTGTAACACAAATACACAACAAAAGAGTCTGAAAAAGAGAAGACACCTTTAGACTTACAGTTTGTACTTCCCGTAGGTTAATTCTTATCTTTGGCCTAAACAAATTTTTGTTTTTTCTTCTGGATTCAAATACTCCTCTTTTGAAGATCATCACTGCCATCTGCGTCAAAAAGAAGAATCGTATGTGAAGGAACCATGGGATGCAACTAGTCACATCGAGTCTTTCAACTGTAGAGTGTTGTAAATTTCTTCTATTTCATGAAACATTCATACCTTTATCGTGGCCTCTCTATAATCTCTTCTGGATTCTTGTGATGATTTTGAGGAACCCATTAACTCCAGTTGCCTTAATTCATCAATTTTAGCTAAAGCTCGCCGAGCAAATGCCTATATGCAATTAAAATAAATTCAATTCATTTTAAGTGAGAGTACAGTGATAAAAAAATGTATCAGGACAGTATGTTTTATTCCCCCAGAACTCGATTTAATTGATGAATTAAACTCTAGGCTGATGCTGACTCTATACCACAGTCGCTATCTAGTGTATCACTTCCTATTAGCACACTAAATTCTGCAGATGCAAACTTAATAAGCAGTCAGATATGCTACTTTTGTGAATTAAGAAATGTTTAAAATAAGGAAAGTCAAATTCTGGTACTGATATTTTCAGTGCCTGCCTAATACAAAATAATATTAATGTGAAAAAGGAAACTAAGCAGGGAAGGAAAGTGAACTGCATGCAAGAGAACGAGGAAGGAAACCTATCAGAAATCTTAGCCAGGAGAGCAGCACACAAGGTGGAAGTGAACAGAGAATAAAGGAGAGAAAAGTCCGCAGACCAACAGGTAACACAGTGGAAAAGCCCAGCGAATTTCTGCAAATTAAGCCCGGGACTTTTGTCTTTGCTTCACTGCAGTTCTTTGAGTTTGTTTGTGCATGTTTTTCTTGCTGGACAGCTAAAGAATATATTGCTTAAGTTGCATTTTAAAATACTGACATCCTCAGAATGAAAAAGTAGCATACCTCTCCGTGAACGCCAGCTTGGCAGTCATAGCAGCACTGGCAGACAGCAGCGTAAAGAGTGGCTCTCCACGTCAAGTACCTGACAGACAGCAGTGGGACCGAAAACTCCATGCACATGCTGGCCCACAGGAGGTATTCTAAGGCCTGAGAAGGAAAGGGCACAGTTGAATATGTTTTCATTTTAAGCCAATAAGTATGATTTTTATTCAATATACTCAGATTTTAACTTGTGAGCACAAGTTGCTAACTACTTACGCCAAAAATGATGTCAAGAAAACATAAGAATTTTAAAAGTTAAAGAATAATTTAGAGAACTCAAAATCTTAAGTCGACCATTTTAAAATATCTTCCTTCTTAGCTCCTAAGTCATATGAACTCAGCACATTTTTATTAACATATATCAAGTGTCCACAACAGTATGGGGGTTCATTCCAACAATTGTTACTAGCTGGTCTGGAATCAATGTATTATTTTTAAAATAAACGGGTAAATCGGGATAGGAAAAATGGAAAACAGTCTGGGGTCTGTGATACTTGGTAGAAACAGCTGAAGACTGAATCAAATAGATATAAGTTTCAGTCCCAAATGTATCACCTAGTAGGTGTGTCATTTTACCTCACCGATCTCAGCTTCCTCATCTTTAAAATGGGTATTTTGACAATCAGCCCAGTGCTGTTATGCAGAAGACAATGTACGTGGCGTGTTGGGACGGTGTCTGTCACACTCCATAAATGGTGTCTGTTTCCAGGGTAACTGTTCCCCAGGTACAATGGGGAAAAGGTCATCACTGCTGTTGGTCTGTCTGTAGGAATATATAGTAATTCCTATGTACGTAAGAGCCTCTTGTGCTATTTTAGCTGAATGGCTGAGTGGCTCCCCACAAGTCCACTGTCACTTCTTTTTGCACATACCCTCCTCACAGACCCTGTACTGGGAAACACTGTTTGACTACGTGAATTATGCGGTTGGTTAACTTTTTCAGTCTTTTTTCTTTCTTCAAAAATATTCCACAAGTTTGAAAAGCAATTGGATTATATTGCCTTTCATTTGACTGAATATAAGAAGGAATTTGTTCTAACTTCCATATACTTTTATAAAAAACATTACTAGGATAAAACTAAGAATGTGTGAGCTACGTATCTCAGAATATCGAATTCTAAGTTATATCATCCATGGAAACACGGACCTCAGCCATGCAGGCCCTACATGTCTCCCTGTCTTTGGTCTCGCCATTGCACTTCTTACACACCCCTTCTTACATATCCTCCGAACCTCATAGTTATCTTTTTACTATGCAAACCGGGTCATGTCACTCTTGTGTTTAAGACACATCAATGGCTCCCTACTGTGTACATGACAAAGCACAGGCCTTTTATAGGACATGAAAAATCACTCCAGCCTTACCCCACCCCCTTGACCTCCCATTATATACTTAAAGCTGGTCCAAAATGCATTCTATTTCACAAACACACCTTTAGTGTACCAAATACAATTGTCTTTGCTCACTCTGCTCTCTCCTCTACCTGTCCTGTGAGGCCGAAACACTCCTTCCACGACTAGCAGGGTGACCTTGGACCATTTTTAAACTCCATGTGCCTCAGATAACTCAACCATACAGATATAACAGTAAGTAGGACTGTCTGAAGATTAAGCAAGTTAATATACACTAAATGCTTAGAACATAGTAAACATAATTAGGTGATAGCCTTGGTAATGACAAAGGTAATGAAGACAAGAAGGGGAAGCAGGAGAAATGAAGGACCAGGAGGAGCAGAGGAAGAAGGAAAAGAAAGAGCAAGAGGTAAGAGAACCAGTTGTTTAGACTCCTCTGACATCATTAGACAGAAACGAACATGGCCTCATTTCTGTCTCTACTATAATTGTGTGGTGTGTATGATCTGCATATATTTTATAGAGAGATATGTCATATGTCACATCCAATAGCATTAATATTCTCACATGTGTGATTCCAGACTGTGATGTCTTTAAAAACAGGAATAATGCATTATTCATTTCTATATCACCAGCACCTGGGACAGTACCTACCAAATATTCCCACGTGCTATTAAGTGAATTCATTGAACAGCCCTAAATCAGCAGAACCCACTAAGAGAGAGCTCTCACATATTCTAGATTCTCCAAAAAATGATGATGATACATTTAGACGACAGAATTAAGTCCCCCTTCCAGTAACAAATTCCACCTTCAGTGATTGCAGGAATAACTGAAGAAAAGTATACGTATAGTCAGGCCCATCTTGAAAAGGCGAGTCATTGAAAAGGTCCAGGAACTGCACATGCATTCAGAAAGCTTACCAGGTTGATACAGTATTTAACAGTAAGATAGATTCAGAACCCACTACCATCTTTGGAGTCTTCGAAGACAGTGTAAACAGCTAATCCCCATGCAAGCCACTCAGCACACATCCATGAGAAAGAAGCCTGAGAGGCAGACTTCTCCACAGTCTCCTCGGTTTGGATGCCGGAAGTAGAGCAGCGCTTGACACAGCGTTGTGGTATTTTTTTGGCTATCCACTGCACTGTAAGCCCTTCTCACTAGAGTGCAAGTTCACTGCGAAAGTGGATCTTATCTATCTTTTTCACCACTGTATCCCCAACCCCTAGAACTTTATCTGGCATGTAGTAGACACACAACAGATATTTGCTGACTGACTGACTTTCATTTAAGTTTCAGTTCATGGTGCCAAATACAGAACTATTTTGAGTAATCAAAACATCAAAGGGCTCAAGGCAACCTAAGTTCATTACCACCCCCATCACCAGCGCCACCACCTCGTGTCTCACACCTGCACTGCCCAAGAGTTCCCACCTCCAGGTGGCACCAGTGGACTTGAAAAGTACTTGCTTAATTTGAAATGAAATCCATTTTGATATGCCTCTAGTGCATGAATTCTAGTTATGCCTTTTGAAACAGCGCAAGACCATTCAAAACTCACTTTAAAAGTACAGCCTTCCAAGACTCTGGAAGCACCTGTGCCACCTGCCCTCCCCCCAGTTCTGCCTCCTGGAGAAAGATCCCTGAGCACCTACCTCTCCACCTCCCAGAACTGCACTTCCCTTTGCTCTGGGCTTTGCTCCAGGCTGCAAATGCCCTTTTGGAGTGTATGATTAGACCACAGTAAAATGACACTCTTTGTCCCTGGTCCTGGACACTGCCCCTCTACTGAGTTGGCCTGGGGTTGCTTTATTGCGGTGTTTGTAATTTTTGTTGTTGCTGTTGTCTTGTTGTCATTGTTTGCTCACCTTGCCACCCCAGGAACTGATATGGAATGGACAGTTACCAAAACTTGAGTTTTTTCACATCTGCTGCACAAAAACCCTATTAAAGATGTGTGCATTTGGCTTGTTGTGGTTTGGAAGGTATGGGATTAAGCCAAGTATAAATTTCTCTCCTTTAAATGCACATGTCTTTCACAAAGACCTCAGGGTTTCCAGGTATCAGAAATTTCTCACTTCAAAATAAAAATGACTTTGGTTACCAGTTGTTTATGTTATTTTGGGGTTTGGCCTCAGACTTAACACAAGAGACCTTAAGTCACAGATTTTAGTGCTACAAGGGACCTTAACAGTGACCTAAGCTGACTCCAAGGGGCTAAACTGCAGTGACGGAGTCGGACCCGGAGCTGGGACGCAGGCCCCGGGGCCTCCAGGCTGCAGAGGCAGTCTTCGTGCTACCCAGGGAAAACTAGATGAAGGGGAGTTCTTTAAAAAAAAAAGGCATGGCTTCACTTAGGGATGTGAAAAAGCGTCGTTCCTCTTAGAGTTCTGGACAACCGTTATTCAGATATTTAAAATGAAAACCCATTTCCAAAAAATCACTTCTTAATTTGTTTTTGCCCCTAAAATATAAAAATATTTCTAGTAATATTTTTAATTGATAAAATTTAAGCAGCAGAACCAGCCAGGGCTAAAAGCTATTCATAGAAAAAAAACAAACTTTGAAAAAACCAAGTTTAAATTTAAAAGTAAATAAATAAAATGTAAAAGGAAATTAAAAACTCTTTTTAATCCTCACCCTTGACATGCTTATTCATCTTAGCAAGTGGGGAAGAGAAGGTGAGAGACAGTGAGAGAAATATCAACATGAGAGAAAACATCAATCAGTTGCCTCTCATACACACCCAACACCCAACCAGGGACCAAACCTGCAACCTAGGCAAGTGTCCTGACCAGGCATCGAACCCACAGCCTTTCAGCTTACAGGATGATGAGTCAACCAACTGAGCCACACCAGCCAGAGCTAAAAACTATTTTCAGTGCCTATAACACAAGCAGGAAAACTCAAATCGGAACAGTGAAATCTCATTTGTTTTTTACCCATCAGACTGGCAAACGTTGAAGAGATTGTTAATATTATATTGGTAAAAACATGGCTCAAAACACCGTGGGTGGAAGAGGTTTCTGGCAATGTTCCTCTATTAAAAATGTTAAGCTATCAAAACCATAACAAATAAATCATTTGCTATATACTAACTCTTCATTTAAAAAAGGAAGAGAAAGAAGGAAAAGGAGGAGTGGGGAGGAGGGGGAGGCAGAGGAGGAAGGAGAAGGAAAAGAGGAACAGAAAGAAGAAAAGGAAGAGGAAGAAAAAGAAGACAGAAAAACCAAATTACAGGAGGCCGGCCACAGCCTGGTTCAGATGTGGCGCAGTGGATCAGTTCGCCCACAGGGTGGCACTGCAGCACCACCGACATCAGCCTTTGATGGCGGCAATGCCAAGTCTGGCTGTGAAGTTTACGTAACAGGATGTGGAGTAATTGGACAACCATTGTTCAAACCACAAACTTCATAAATGAAACCGAAATTGACATTTTTGTAGAATGAATAGACCCCACTATACTTGTTTAATGTTTGCTGAATGTTTTAAATGTTTCAGAAACTACAGGGTACACCATAAATGGCAGTAAAATTGTAAATATGTCTTTAGGAAGAGATTTCGGAAATCTGCCCTGCCTCCATTCCCCAAGCTTACACTGCTGACCTCCCTAAAGGTAAGTGCTGTTTCTCACCTGGGGAAGAGCCCCTGGCCAATCTGGGACTTCAGGGTGTCTTCAGGAAACAGAGTGATATCAAAAATATTAGCCCCTGCACACAGCTCCTCCATTTGACTGAGAAGCAGGATGGGCCTGACCGGATGACATTTAGTCAACAGACATGCATTGTTCCCAAGCTGCTGACAGGCAGCGCGGCGTGGCCTGGCCCTGGTCGCAGCTACACTTCTAACTGGACGTCTGACGTAGAGCTAATTAACCTTTCTGAGCCTTCCCTCCTTCCTCTGTATGAAATGGAAGCAGTAGCAGCACCTCTCTCCAAGGGTTGGTGTGAGGATTAAATGGGATAATATATAAAAGTGCTTAGACACCAACCTGATAAATGGTAGGCATGAATCAACAAATGATGATAGTGGTGATGATAATGACGATAATGATAATGTCCACCCCCTAAGACTATAACAAGTGTTATTATGTATGCAAAGCCCTTACACAATACCTAACACATAGTAGGGGTTCAATAACAATAACACATGGTAGCAATAATGCTCGTATGTTATAGTAACAGGTTTCTATTTCTTTGGGGTGACATCTAGAAGCACCAGAGGATATAATATCTATTTCTCCTTCAGTCTCATGCAATAATAGACATGAACTCTAAAGCAGTTACAGAATCAGGGTCCTTCAGGACCAAGAAGACACAGATGTGGATGGACCACTCCCCACAAGGAATCAATTCACAAGCTGAAGGTTTGGAAATTTCTGGGTGAAAATTATTATTTTTGGAACTTATTACATTGAAAAAACAAAGAATTTCATCCCTGTCTTCAAACGCTAACTGTACAACCACTCACCACACCAAAATCCTTGCACACCACCCTCCCCTCACTCTCTGAGACCCAACCCCCAAGACTGGAACCACAGAACTATTCTCCTTCGGCCTTTATTTTGTCAGAGAGAAATTCAAGTTCATCGAGAAGGAGAGGAGACATCTTATGTAGGATACAAATAAGAAATTATTTTAAATGACCATCATGTTAAAATTCTCTCGGCATTAACAAGCACAGCTACGAACAGTTCAGCCTTAGCAGACACCCCTGCCCTTCGCAGCCCTGGCAGGCAAATGCCACAGCAAACCACACGGTGATGGTTCTGTAAGCAGCGTCTGTTGCTGCAGCAAGGGCGACAGAGTATGCAAATTCTTTCCAGGAAATCGGCTGGACCTGAATGTAGAGTCGCCAGAATAGTCTGTAGGTCAGACTTCCACTCTACATGGGCCGGTCTCCCCTCATTTTAATTCACACTCCAAGGCTGGCAGAGTCTCGTTCAAGCCACTGACACTAGTAGAGCCTTTAAATTCAAGGAACAAAACAGGGCGAATGTAAAACTGCTCTCATTAAGCATGCAAATATCTTTGCTTCCATTTTTAAATGTTGTGAACTTTTCAGATACTTGGCTGTGTTTTGAAAAAATAAGAAGAAAACTGTGTGATGAAGAATAAAGCATTAAAAAAAGAATAAAGCAGTAATGTTTCAGATACCAGTAACAATTTGAGTATGGTCTCAATGGGAGTATCTTCCTGACCTACATTCCAATGAGCAAACAATGAAAACAGGGAATAATCATGTCTTCTAGGGACAAAATTGCTACCAACACTGTAGGGAAGTCAACAGATGTCAGTAGAAGCCTCAAGCTAAAACCTAGCAGTGCATACTGGAGAGGGAGAATCTTATTATAAAATAAGGTCTCTTTGCCCTCAGGTCATAACTAGAACAGAGTTTAGATGTCCTTCCACCCTAATGAACACTAGCATCCACTCACCCATTCACTTACTCACGAGCATGGGGCCATAAGTAAAGTTCAACCTCTGCCAGAAACACAAAGTCCACGCTCCAGAGTATGACAAAAATAGGATAACCATAGTTTATTTCTCAAGTAGAACATTTCTAAGAGTGAAAGCAGGCACCATTAATAATCACTCCAGGACAACGTGGAAACCAGGACTGCCCTGGGCAAGCCAGAATGGACGGTCAGCTACCCAGCGATATGGTTACCGGATGGATGTGCAGTATCAAGCTGATGAGTTATGACTAATCTCGGAGACCCACGGACAGCGGAGGACAAACTTACCACTCTTAAGAATGCTTTCCTTTCGTTAATGCTTTATTGTCTGCAATTTTACATTTGATCATACCAAGGTAAAACTAAAACCAGGAAGCCTATAATATATATTCACTAAATTTCCTTTGTTTAGCATTCAATGCTAACAAAAGTCTTAAGAAAAACCGGATATATGGGGGAGATATTTTGTCAGTAAATTTCATACCTTGGAAGATTGACCTAAAATCATCAGTTTTCTGCAAATGGTGTAAATGTAAATGGTACCTAGATGAAGAAAAAGATCATTAACATGTTTTATAGTCAAATGATGAGAATTTTATATTCCAGTTGCTGTGGTTGAAGTCTGTTCTCAAAATAAGCAATCCCATGAGAAACTCTGATAATGACTGGACTTATAGTCATAATAATTTATTAATATTTTGCCACCAAATCATTACAAGAACTAATATGACCACACATTAAATAGGTTGACATGGGACTCTTTTAGCCTCAACATATTTAAGTTTTGAAATATATTGAACAAAAGAACAATTTTAGTAGCATCATTTGTGTCCCTGTGGTTTTAGTAACTCATATAAAATATTATTGTTTCCCATAGTTTCCTCATGCTTAAAAAACTAAAGATTTATTTTCAAATAAGATTATAATCCATATTTAATCAGCACGGTACAATACCCAACATGGAAACACATAATAATGTAGAAGTCACAACACATAATAGGTTGCATTACATTCATTCACAGTCTCATAATGTTTATCCTTTATTAAGGAATATCCCATGAGCAACCTAATAAAAAAACAGCATTTTCAATTCCTGTCTAACATCATCCAAGTATGATATTTTTCAGGCTATTAATTAAACAAGGCTGGAAGGCTGGTGGCTGGGCTGGGGAAGAGGGAACAGTGTCAGCGTGCCTCTGTCTACGTACCAAGGACATTGTCACGCTGCCAAGGTTACCAGAAGATGGTAATAAGCTTTAATAAGGCATGTAATTATAATGCAAGTGGCCTAAGTAGTCCCTATAAAATTTCTGATCTAAAATTCATAACCATCAAAATTCAACAATGATGAATCCTATGTTCACATTTAAGCTTTAAAAGCTTCTGAGAAAACAGCACCTGCTTCAAGACACATCATTTGATTAAAATACACCTGTAATAAAAGTAAATATTAATTACATAAATCAGTGACAAAAATATTGAATAAAATCTTTAAAAAGCATAGCACCATAACATTTCACTGCAACTGCAGCAGGCCCTGAGCCCTTGAGGCCTTGGCATTGCCACCGCGACTGCCCCCCGTCACAGGGGGTCATTCGCTTCACGAAAGATCCACCGGGGAAGAAACAATTTGGCTCCTGTCGGCTCAAGCCCAGCATTCTTATCTCAACTTGGTTTTGTCGACCTCCCTTTTTAACCTTTAAAAATTAAACTGTGCAACTGTGTTTCTTTCTTTTTAAGTCACCGAGTAAGACTACATACAGGAAAGGCATGCCAATGCAACATGTGATTCAGGTGGAGGCCAGGAGCCTGTGTAAACATGTCAGTAACAGGAACTGGGGAATTTCAGGAGGCCCCAGGAGACTGCCCTCAGGAATGACAAGGGCCCTCTGTGTTTCAAAAATGTGCCTTTACCCTCTGCAGCCCTGGGGTGTCCTGGCTATAACAAGCCTTACTTGATGGTTCAGGATCTTGGCATGGCTTACAAATTCCCACTGCAGAAGTGTGAAGGACAGAGTGCTGCTACAGAACGGCACACAGACCGAATCTTCACAGCCTCAGCGTATCTCCGGGAGTTCTGGTTTGCCCAAATCGCTAATGTGAGTTTTTACTTTGCCACGGGACTCCTTTTCATCAAAGACAGCCATCACCAAAATAATCTCTATTTGAGGGTTTAAATTAGTTGGGTTCAGGTTAATTGAGAAGTAAAGTGTTATGGAATACTCAGATACCCAGTTAGATTTTATGAAAGAACCAAGACTGGTTACATATTTTAAGAAGCCAAGGATGTCTATATATATGATCATCAATTAAACAATAAGGAATGTTCAATTCTAACTGGAAAAACTAAATGTATTTTGATGAAATGACTGTATCAATTTATTAATCTTCTTTAAAGATTTTACTTATTTATTTTTAGAGAGAGGGGAAGGAGGGAGAAACATTGATTCGTTGCCCCTCGTACACGCCCACACCAGGGACTGAACCTGCAACCCAGGCACGTACCTGGACCGGAAATCAAACTGGGGACTTTTCACCCTGCAGGACTATGCCCGGCCAATGGAGCCCTCTAGTCGGGGCCAATTTATTTTTGGTTACTTAAAATACCAAGTTTTAAAACTACCGGATCTCCGCACTTGCTAGTCTTCCCGCTGGAATGTCCTTTCCCCAAACGTCATCTCGCTGACGCCGTCCCTGACCGTTCTGTTTACAGTGCCGCACACCACAGGGCAGACCTGGCTCTCTCCATCCCGCCCGGGCTTTATTTTTCTCTACTGCACAATCTGCCACAAACACTTAGTTTTGATTTATCACCTCTCTGTACCAGAGCGTAACTATGAGAACAGGCCTTTCATCCGTTGCCCACTTTTTTGTTTCTAGAACAATGCCTGGCAGTAAGTTTGGGATGAATTCATTAAAGCAGGGACAGGAGTTAGTAAAATTATGTATATTTCCCACCACCCAGCAATCCCACTCCTGGGCATAGATCCCAGATAATCTCACTCAGGTCTATAAAAGGACATGTGCAAGGACGCTCATTGCAGAATGATTTGCGTAGTCGCAGAGGCAGGGCCACCAGGTTCGTACCTAGGGGTGTACACGTATCTGTAGAAGGCAGGTCAGTAGTCAGAGTGAACATACTAGATTTACACATAGGAACCTGGCTAGATTCTAAAAACATATTATTGAGCAGAAACATATCTAGGAAAAAGAATAAAATGTAGATCACAATACCACCTGTGTAAAGAAAAAGCACACACCAGAAAAGGGATGGAGAAGATACGGAAATCATTTCATCTTTTTTTTTCCCTAAGAATACCAGATTTCTGTATGTGGTCTTAAAAGATCAGTGAGGGAGTCGTGCTGGGTCATCTCACCATCCCACCAGGCCCGGCTGCAAGGCCCACGGGCCTATCTCTGCTTCCTGACCACAGAACCTCTGTTCCGGCTCAGGCCCTGCCCAGGTGCCTGACCAGCTCGGGTGGCGAGATGGCAGCAGCTACTCCGGGAAACACAGATCCTCTTGAGGATGATCAAGCACAAAACTGACAATCAATGGATTAACAATTTATTCTGAAGTCAGCCTCATCTCTGGCAGCAATTATAATTTTCAACCAAATCATCAAAAATTACTTGGGGAGGGTGAGGAAGGAAAAGTCTAGGAAGTATATCTCAATTGTCATAGATGAGCTAAAACCCAACATGTTTTCTTCCGAGTTTGTTTGTCCTGTTCTTATGCACATGGAACACACTTGTTATTTTCCTTTTGAGAACATATTATCCACAGAACAACAGCAAATGACTCACCGCAACTTTTTATTGTAACTGTAAAAAGAAACTGAATTTAAATTACAGCACTTTAAAAACAAATGCTACATTTTGATAGATAATATTCCATGAGACACATATATAATGCATATACAGAGTGAGACAAAAATATGTTTATAGTTATAAATACATGAAACATAGTTTTTCTTGTATTATTAATTATTGTATTCTTTTCCATATAAACAACTGTGAACCTACTTTTGCCCCACTCTGCATGCATATATGTATGTGTACCTATACAACATCTATGTGTATATGTGCACACACACACGAACAAAAGCTCTTACTCAAAACCCAGCAGCAGGAGGAGGTTGATATGTAGAAAGCCTCAGTCACTGGCCACAGCAGTTGAACGGAAGACCAACAAATGAATGATGCTGAGAATCACTCTACCCTGCAGTGCTTCTTTGATTCTTCTTTGCTTATATTTACTCCTCAGTTGTGGTCCCTGCTTTCTATGTTCCTGAAACGGATCATCTCCATAGCTTCTAAGCCTTCCTTGCGCAAAAAACCCCAAAGACATGCTTTGTAAGTTCCTGCTTATGAGGACAAATTAAAATGTAATAAAAGTAGAAAAAAAACACCTTCAGCCTATTATGAAATAAATATGTTTTAAATCACCAGGTGATCAAGTTCAAGCCAAAGTTGGCATTTAGATAACTTTCTGAGAGACACCGGGGCACCTAAAACACACCGGTACCCACCGTTGAAGATAATCCAGCAGAGATGCTCCTGCGGCAGCGCCACCTGCATGATGAGCCTCAAGGAGGACAAGATGTCCAGACACTGGACCACAGACCCCTTATTCTGCAGGTTCACGTCACTGTCACAGACCAGCTGGTACTTGCAAATATTTTTGCTGCTTAAAGCATGAAACTGAAACACAATGCAAAATATAAATATGGATATAAAGTTTATGCCACTTAGAAGAGCTTTCCTTAAAACGTAAGGAACTAAAATGGAAATAGTTTGTGCTTAATGAATGTAACAGATCAGTACAGCGGCAGGCTGAATGTTCGTGTCCCCCAAATTCGTATGGTAAACCCTATCCCCAGTGTGATGGTATTGGAAGGTGGGGTCTTTGGGAGGTGACTAGGTCATGAGAGCAGAGCCCTCACGAATGGGACCAGTGCCCCTTACAAAAGAGACCACAGAGAAGCCCCCTCATGCCTTCTGCCATCCAAGGACACAGCATGAAGAAAACCTCTCGCCAGACACCAAATTTTCCAGCACCTTCATCTGAGCCACCTCAGCCTCCAGAGAGTGAAAAATAAATGTTTGTTGTTTAAGCCATCAGTCTATGAATTTTTGTTATAAAAGCTCTAATGGATTAAGACCTATAAAGAAATGTGGTAAAATAGATTTCTTCAAAGCGTCCATTTAATTAAAGTTACCTTTTCTTAATCAAAAAATTTCAAAATCCCCCCAAAAAGTAAGAAATCCTGTTTCCAAGAATATGGAATTGCATCAATTTTGGAAACTCACAAAATGGCATTTTAACTTATTGATTCAGATACAAGGAATTACCATGTACACAATTCATTTGGCAAATGTTTATTGAGCACCTCCCTTTGCCACCCTCTGCTAAGCAATAGGGACTCAAAGTTGAAGAACCGATGGCCCCTGCTCTTGGCAAAGGGAAGGCATTCCAGGCACAAGCAGTGTCAGGAATGCTCAGGGTAGTTGCCGCGGTCGCTGCACTGAACATCTCTCACAAGGCTGGATAAGGCTCAAGATGAAGACAGGTGGTTCAGGGTCGGAACAGGAAGAGTGGTCCATGTCATTCCAAGGAATACGGACATTAGCCAAAGGATAGAGTCAAAGGGCAGAGGAATAAAATGACTTGATTTACACATTAGAAATTAATCATGACCGAAGTGTGGAAGACAAAAGGCAGAGAGTGGGGCACAAAGCTACCTGCAGGGAGGCTGGGAAAGATCGGAAGCCTCTGAGGCAGTCCAGACCTACCGGGCCCTGAAAGGGGGCCCTGGAATCAGGGATGAAGAGAAAGGGAAGATTTAAGTCCTTTCTGAGTCCGTGGGATTTAGTGGCTAATTAGATGCGCGAGGTAAGAGAGAGGAAGTGGTCTGCAAGGATTTCCTGCTTGGGTGCCTGGCTGGAACCATTTACGGAGGGAAGACGATGAGTCCAGCTTGGGATATGTCACGCTGAGATGTTCACGACATAGCTGGGTAGCTGCGGAGTCCGAAAGAGAGATTTTGGCTAGAGTACTGATGAGCACTGTTAAAGCTATGGGAGTGGACAGTCCTCGTAATACAAATGGGCGTTATCTTCCACACAGATTTCCTGCCTGGACACGTGTACACTATTTCTAGCCACCATGCAGTTGGTGTCACAGAGGAAGTGTGCTGAATGCATCTACATGTTGGAGTAAGCATGATCTTCTAAGTACTCTGTCTTTTAGAAACTAATCATCATACCTACATTTTTGAGTGTCAGGCCCTAGTCTGAATGTTTTATTATCTCACTAATCTCAACACAACACGAAGGTCTTATTATTACTTCCATTTTACAAGTGAGGAAACTGAGGCACAAAGGAATTAACCTTCTCTAAGATCCCACTGACAGGCAGCAGCTCAGCAGCTCTTTGAATGCAGGCAGGCGGCTCTGGAGACAACTCCTGCCGGCTCTGCCACGGCCCTTCCCTACAGTCCGTATAAATAAATACAGATGTCCTTAAGTAACATGATTAACTATGTCTGCACAAAACTTGGCTGTTAATATTTTTGACAGTAAATCATTTAATATTACTGCTTCATCTATGATCTTTATGCATTTAAAGCCAAGATCTCTCTCTCTAACGAGACTTCTCAAGACTTTTAGTTCCGGGCCGTCAAGTTCCTACTGGACTAAATTTTCAATCCTACTCATTTTATACATATCTACGGAGAATAAATATGGTGCCGGCGTCAGGCCAGAACCTCGAACTTGGCAGGTAAACAACCAAACCCTTCACATCCATGCACCTGTCACAACGGTCCTGCTGGCTCACTCTGACGTCATCGTCACTGCTGTACCCCCTGCCTCCAGCCTTCTTCCCTCTAGTCTATTCTGTGTGCTGCTTCTGGCTCAATAGTTCCAACTGTATCACTTCATTCAGTCATCCATTCAGTCAAGTCTGACTGAGGATCTATTACATGGCGGGCACGATTCTAGGCACGATGGTTAGGTTAGAGCAGTCCCTGTCCTCATGAAGCTCACATTCTAGAATGGGAGACAGGAAATAAATACAAATGAAAATAGCCGGTGACAGTAGGTGAGACAAAGAAAAATAAAGCAGAGAGTACAGGACACCTGAAGGAAGTAACAGATGGGCCACACAGATATCTAAGACACAAGCTTTGTGGACAGTGGAGCTCGCCAGGGCAGTGCCCAGCCGGGGAGGCTGGGTGAACGCAGGATAATGCAAAAGTACACGAGAGATGGGGACTGGCCCAGGGTGAGGGAGGACGGGTCTTAAAAGTCCAAACTCCTAAGTTTTTCATTTGGCACTCCCCCAGCGGGGTGCCAACTTACATGCACATATTCCCATCCATGCACCTATGATACAGCCAAAACTGAATGGCTCAAGGTGCCCCAAAACATGCTTTGAGATTTTCTGCTTGTTAAACCACACGTTTCCAAGGCCTTGAATAATCAGGTTTGGAATAACATAACTTTGGAGTCAAGACTGATCGGGGTTCAAACACCAACTCTGTCCACTGCTCTAAGTGGGCTGCTTTCTTAGTCTCTAAATGCTTCAGTTTCCTCATCTGTGAAAAAGGAATAATAGTACCCACCTTTTAAGACTATTAAGAGGCCGCAAGATGACAATTCATATGCTGTGAAAGTCTAGCACATGGTAACTGCTCAACCAGCCAATCAGTGGTAGCAATGGACATAATACCACTGGCCTTCCAGAAACAATGCATAAAATTTCATACCAGGAGACCTGTGTTTAATCTCCAGAGTCACTAGTTATACTATGTGACTACCTTTCTTTTTCTCTTTTGTAAAATAAAAATAATAATAGTATCTAACTCACAAAGTTATTGTGAGGATCAAATGTGTTTTCAAAGCACTCTGTAAACTAAAAACACTCTAGAAATATTAGTTCGTATAGTAATAACTGCCCGGTGGATGAATGAGTGATTATAGTGATACAATCTCCAAAGCATCTTTACAAAGTTTAATAAGTGCACTTTCTTATGCAGCACTGAAAACATTTATTAAGCCACTTAGAGCACACAAGTAAATGCTATGCTGAGCAAAGGAAAGACATTTAGAAGTCGTCAACAAAAGGATATTTTGCACAGCTAATCATAAACTGCAGCTATTTTAGCAGCTTTCATCTTACTGTATGTGTAGCATTTTTGTCTCCAAAGCCTTTTGGAAAAAAGACAGTTTTGAATTGATGCACATCTGCTTTATTCTCATCAAAGTTGACGCTGAACTGCTGCAGATACCGTCCATAGCACTGTAAAAGGGCCAGTCTATATTCCTGAAATAAAAAGAGCACTTGATGAAAATTTCAAAATACCATTTTGCTTATTTAATTTTTTTAAACTATCAAATTATTAAATTATATTCAATAATTATTAAATCACATCACTATTAAAATTAGGTACCATTTATATCATAACAATCTTTTTTTTTAAACATCATTGGCTTTTTAAATTTTTTTATTTATTTATTTTTAGAGAGATTGAGGAAGGGAGGGAGAAAGGGAGAGAAACATCAATGTGTGGTTGCCTCTCACGTGGCCCCCACGGGGGGACTTTGCCTGCAACCCAGGCATGTGCCCTGACTGGGAATTGAACCAACGACCCTTTGGTTCGCAGCCCGCACTCAATCCACTGAGCTACACCAGCCAAGGCTATATCATAACAATCTTGATATGATATAAATAGTAATTACATCATATCATGATATGAATCTAAATTATATCAATCTTGATTATCACCACTATTACCACCACCATTACATTATTACTACCATTATCACCATCATTTCCAAACACATATTATGTGACAGACACTGTCAGGCAACTCACGAGTATTATTTCATTTAATTCTCCTCACAACAAACCTACTGTGCGATAAGACAGTCACAGTCTCAAAGGTGAGAACATCCCAAAACTCAACACCACCATGATGGTAACCCATCCACTCAGTCCGAGAGGCAGATGGGTTGTGTAACTAGCCTTGCTTCTCTGATACTTCCTAAGCTCCGTAAAAGAGAGAAGGAAATAAAAAGATGGGGAGAAAGGAGAAGAAGAGGGAAGAAGGTAGAAAAGGAGGGAAGAAGAGAAAAGAGAAGGGGAGAGAGAGGAAAAGAGAAAAAGAAAGAAAGAAGGAGGAGGGAAGGACTGGAGGAAGGAGAAAGAGGGAGACAGGGAGGGAGAAGCAAAGAGGAAGGAAGGGAGGGAAGATGGAAGGAAGGAAGGAGAGAGAGTGGGGGAGGGAAGAGGAGAAAAGAGAGGGGGATGGAGAGAAGAAGGGGAAGGGAGGGAAAGAAGAGGAAGGAGACGAAGGAGCTGGCTCGATCTCTCTCTCATCTGTCAGCAGTCTCTGAAGCTGCACCAGAACAAGCAGAAAAAGTCTAAGCTATTCTTAGTTACGATTCTGTTCATTCTAATTCGTGCTTATATTCCTATTACAAAGTCAAATGCCTCATTTCTGTAGCCCACGAGGCACAACTGAGCTGGAGTTGCAGGGCGGTGGATGTGAGTAGAGCTCTGAAATATGTGTGTGTTGCAACCCTTACTCAGCTTCCTCCCCTGTAACTGTGTCCAGGAAAAGCAACTGCCAGGGGTGTGAAGGGCCTCTCAGGTTGCCTAGTCCCTAAGGGGGAGGCATCCACCTTCAAATGCTGTTACATTTCCATTTCTATTGACTTGTTTGTTACTGCTCCCTGATTAATTCTGATTCTTGCTGTTCTTACTTGATTCATACAATGAATTCAAATCTAGGTTCAAAACAGTATTCCAACAAAATGATCTTTACAGTAACCAAAATTAAAATAAAGAGACTCTAGAACCAAAGTAACAAATCAAGTTCATTTTTCTAGATTACAAATACCTTGATCAGCCCACTTTCCCATCAGTGGAAAGTATGAAACATTTTCTTTGTTCCTTTAAGCAAATTTTAAAATATTCTCCCTGGGCCTCTCGAGCTGAAATATTCTAAATCCTTAGTCACTACCAATCATCCACTTGCCTTATCACCTTCTAACATGTTCCTTCCTCCTCCTTCCCCCAATATTCACTACACCCACCTGGATACTCCCCAACCTGAAACTGTTCTGTTATCACCAGCTTCCCATATTGAGGAGAAGCATGAAAATGGAGAAAGCGAAGGTTTCTCTGATTCTTGCCAAAACTGCTCTTCCACTTCACATAAATACAGCTTACAAGTTGGAGCTCATCTGGGTTTTTTTTTTCTCTTCTGTAGTTTTCCAAACTCTGTATTTTCAAGTTTCTAAGAACCATAGTCCAATTACATGGAGCCAAGGATTCTCTAATTTTGGCAGCAGAAAATAGAACTTCATTATGAGAGTTCCTTCATATCTTATCCTCTACTTGGTAAACCTCCCTCCCAGACCAAAAGGATCCAAGTGCAGAAAACAGAAATGGAGGAAGAAAATGACGCTGAGAAACTCAAGACTGAGAATTTTTAGTGAAGACACTAAATGCGGCCCCTGCTTGGCCAACAACCACTTTGGAGAAAATAACTCTTCATTCAGCGATCCTAGATGTGCCAAACACTCCTACTGAACTTGGAGTAATGTGGCCCGATGCCAGAGCTTAAGGGAAACACTTACATTATCATTAACTGATAATTCAGCCGTGGTGTGTATGTGGTCTTAACAAGCCTCAGAGTCCACGGCGATCCAAGACCCAGGTGTTGATACAAACTAGAAATGGGGGCAAACTCAGTTTGGAAAACAATACTGAGCAAGAAACAGGGTGCGTATGCAATGACTGCTGTATTTACATTCAGCAAAACACTAAGGAGCTGCAAGTCATTAAAACGGGGCACTGGACGCAACCAGGCCAGAAGCCATGAGAGCCGTTCTCCTGTGAAAAACAACAGGAAGTGGTGTGGGGCTCCTTTGTGTGAAGGTAGGAACATGATGACTCAGGGCTTCCTGCCGGGCGCCTGCCACACCCTCTGCTCACTAGGGGCTGTGGCCAGCTGTCTTTCTGTTCAGGAATCTTTCACTTCTGGAAAATCTCCACTACAAAATTAAAAACCAAATGCTTTTTTGGTTATTGTGCCCCATTAAAATGTTATGTATTCATTTATTTCTTTTCCTAAAAAAAAAATCAAATCCTGTAAAATAGGAATGGTATCAAACTGAATGACAATACAAGTAGCCAAATGAGTTTCACTGCGGCTCCCTGACTCTGGAGGCACTTACTTTCATTTCACAGAGGCGATCACCAACCTCCAGAAGCTTTTCGTTGTAATAGGCAGCCGGCAGCCGGGGTGCGTATTTAGTCCAGATATTAAACAAGGAGGTGGCACTACAAAAAAATCATAAAATATCTTCAAAGTCAGTAGGTAACCTCAATTAATTAGGAAGCAACCCTCAGAAAGTTATCTTGTTGCCCTGGCTGGTGTAGCTCAGTGGATTGAGTACAGGCCTGTGAAGCAAAGGGTCATCTGTTCAATTCCCAGTCAGGGCACATGCCTGGGTTGCAGGCCAGGTCCCCAGTAGGGGACATGTGAGAGGCAACCACACACTGATGTTTCTCTCCCACTCTTTCTCCTTCCTTTCCCCTCTCTCTAAAAAATAAATAAGTAAAATATTTTTTAAAAAAAAGAAAGTTATCTTGTGCTAAGTCTTTCCAACGTGCCTTATTGTTGATGTCTAGCTATTAATAAATTATAGCTAGAGTTAACATCATTGCTTCTTTTGTGTCAAGCACTGATTGCAGCTCCTTATACATTTTTAAAAACAGACTTTTTTAGAGCAGTTTTAGGTTCACAGAAGAATTCAGCATCAGGTGCAGAGACTACCGTTACGCCTCCTGTCCGCACACATGCACGGCCTCCACCATTACCCACCAGAGAAACACGACGCTTCCAATGCTGTATTGACACATCATTATCACCCAGTGTCCGCAGTTTACATCAGGGTTTACTCTTAGTGTTGTTCATTCCATGGGTTTGGACAAATGTACAATGACATCACCGTTCACTCCCTGAAAATCCTCTGTGCTCTGCATAGTCATCCCTCCCCCCTGCCCTCCCTCTCTCCGACCCCAGGCAGCCATTCATCTTTTTATTCTCTCCACAGGTTTACCTTTTTCAAAATGTCATATAGTTGAAATCATACAGTATACAGCCTTTCCAGACGGGCTTCTTCCACTAAGTCATATGCATCAAGATCTCCCCGTGTTTTTTCATGGCTTGACAGCACATTTCCTTTTAACACTGAATAATACTCCACTGCCTGGTTACACCACAGTTTATTTATCTTTTCCCTTACTGGCAGGCATCTTATGTGCTTCCAAGTTCTGTCCATTGAATAAAGCTGCTATGAACATCCACGTACAGACTTATGTGTGAACACAAGTTTTTCAACTCCTTTGGGCAAATACCAGGGAGAACAATTTACCAGAGCATGTTTAGTTCTGTAAAAAACATCGCAGTTTATTCCAAAGTGGTTATACTTACCAGCCGTGAATGAGCGTTTCTGTTGCTCCACCCCCTCAGCATCATTCGGTACTTTGAGAGTTCCGGATCTGGGCCACGCTGATCAACGTGGAGGGCAGTATTGTTGTTCTAACGTGCGTCTTCCTGACAACACACGGGGCAGAGCATCTTTTTATAGGTTTATTTGTCATTCGTGAATCTTCTTTGGGGAGGTGTCTCTTGACCCAGGGTTTTAACCAGGTGGTTTGTTTTCTTACTGTCAAGTATTAAGAGTTCTTTGTAGAGTTTGGACAATGGTGCTTTATCAGATACGTCTTTTGCAAATATTTTCTCCCACACTGGGGCTTGGCTTTCATTCTCTTGACAGTGACTTTCGCAGAGCAGAAATTTTTAATTTTAATGAAGTCCAGCTTATCAGTTCTTTCATGAATCATGTATTTGATGTTATATTAAAAAGCACTGACCATGGTCATCTATATCTTCCTATTTTATCTTCTACGAGCTTTATAGCACTGGGTTTTGCTTTAGGCTTGCGATTCATTTTGAGTTAATTTTTGGGAAGGGTGTGAGGTCTGTGTATAGATTCATTCCGTTACATGTGGATGTCTAGTCGTTCCAATACCATTTGCTGAAGTGACTGGCTTTATTCCATTGTATTGCCTTTGCTTCTTTCTCAAGATCAATTGACTACATTTATGTGTCTCTTTCTAGGCTCTCTGCTCTGTTCTTTTGATCAATTTGTCCATTCTTTTACCAACACCACGCTCACTTGATCGGTAAAACTTTATAGTAAGTCTTGAGGTCAGGCAGTAAGTACCAGTTCCTCCAGCTTTATTTTCAATGTTATGTTGGCTATTCTGGATCATTTCCCAACACACTGGGGTTTGTTTGTTTGTTTGTTTGTTTGTTTGTTTGTTTTTTCACAACCCTGAGATGGCTAACATTAATATCCCAAATATACAGTTGATGAAACTGAGGCTTAGTGTATCCATGCTCTTAAATAGTATATATATAACTGAGCCTTCCAATTCCCTTGAATAAAATCTTAAAGACCAAGAACCTTGACTATATTATCCATTGCCAAGCTCCAAGAAGACCGAATAGCTAGTATGTGTAGGTACACAATAAATATTTGTTGAAAGAATGAACGAATGGATGAATGCACAGAAAAAACACTCCCTGTTCTTATGTTATTCTTTTTTAGAAAAGGTCCGAGGGTTCAACTAGCCTGTCAGTCCATTTAGGGTTATGCTTCATTCCACAAAGTAAAACAAAAACTAAGCAAACATACAGTATTCTTAACATGGCTTCTAATCAGAGTTTCAAAGGGTAGCAGATCACTGCTTCTTGTGTTCACTTACTTAGTTAACATTCAATCCTTCCCCCTCTGTGAGGCATTAGAACTACTTCCAGGAAAAATCCAAATTCCCCTTACAATTGTACAACCTTATACCATAAATTTCTGAGTAAGGACAGTGTAATGGCTTGAATGTGTGTGACCCCTCAACATCCACATTTGAAGCCCTAACCTCCAGTGTGGCTATATGTGGAAAAAGTGACTTGAAAAATACATTAAGTTAAATTTGGTGGTAAGAATGGGGCCCTGTTCCATGGGTATTGATGCTGTTTTGAGACAAGACACCAGAGAGCCCTTGGGCTGGCTCTGGTCCTCACTCATACTCTCTCCCTCCCTCCCCCGCAACCCCCAACCCCCTTCCTGCACCCCCTCTCCACCCGCCACCCCCTGCCCCGCTGCCCCAGAGGACAGAGGGGGTATCTACAAGGCAGGAGAAGAGCTCTCACTAGAAACTGACCCTGTCAGACCTTGGTCTGGGATATCAAGCCTCTAGAGCCACGAGAAAATAAAGTTCTGTTGCTTCAGACACCCAATCTGTCCTATTCATGTGGCAGCCCAAACTGACTAATACAGACAGGAATGTAAAGTTAAGGACTGAAAATGGTTCTAGCACTTATGATGTACACGTTGGTATATTAATAAAACAACCTCAAGAAAACATGTCAGGTAATTCATTCAGGTAATTAAATGATATGGATTAACAAGGAAAGTGGGGGCATAGGGTGTTCCTGCCTTTGTAGACTGAGTAAAGCATTTAGTGATAGAAAAAGATATACATGTATCAAGTACTAAACAACAATGTTAAATAAATAGTGTGGCACATATAGCCCAGAGACGTTTAAAAAGGGAGGAGTTTGGGGGGGTTTGTTTGTTTTACCTTTATCAGTTTCATCTGATGCTTCAGAAAATGCTACAGTATTAGAATAAATATAATAAATCAAAAAATTCACCAGGTCTTGCTAGAATCCTCAAGTTATGTAGGTGAAAGAGTTAATTCTTCCAAACCTTATGGGTAAGATAATGATGACTAAGTTTGTTACTCATAAAAGAAAAAATGCCAGCTTTGTTAAATCAATCAGGGTTATATAACAAGAGAGCTTTTTCTTTTTTTTAAGTGAACCCTAGCAGTCTTAACCCCAAGTTAAGACTGCTCATTGGGAATGGCTTACATAATGATTAAACAAGGCAAATATAATACAGACTATACAATGTACATCATTTAAGAAAAGAATGTTAATGTAGTCTGGACTGCTGATTGATTATAGCTGCTGCTGGGTACTTAGAATTTTAGAAAATGGAAAATCAAAACTCTATAAACAGAATATCTAAATCTTATATGTTTACAACAAAAGCATACCTTTTAAAAATTAATCACACTCTACATTTAATGACGTTGTTATGATCAAAACTACATTTTAAAGACTATGAATTTTTTTATGCTTAGCGGAAGGTCTTACGATGAGAAAAGGAAACAAATTTTGATTTTAAAAAATAACCATCTGCCAACTATGCCAAAAAGGCAAACCCTACCACCTGTATTCCCAACTGCTCTCCACACTGTCATCCTTGCTCCATTTGAACCAGGTCACCAAATTAATATTTGAACACAAAATCACATAGATTAATAAACACCCTGACAAAAACTACCCAATGGTTTCTCATTGCATTTGAAATAAACACAAACTTTATAAATGGCCTCTAAAACCTTCCACAGCCCCACCTAGTTTTCTAGGCCCCTCATACCACGGCCTCCACACTCAGTAAAGCTACGCTACATGGGCTTCTGTCTGTTCCGCCAAAGTCCCCGACTCTTTCCTGCCAGGATCTCCCCACGGGCTTGTGCCCTCTACTCATCCTCTCTCCCTGCCTTCAACTGCCAGCTGTCCTTCTACTCTCAGCTTCCTGTCACCACCCTGGCCAGCATTCAAAATGCCCCTGTGGTGTTCCCTTTAATCCTCTTCTCAGTGCCACCTACTTTGATCACCTTATTGAAATGACAAGCTCCTGTCTCCTATTCCACAACCTTCCACTCTTCATTTATCTCCTGGCATTTATCACTTTCCAGGTCACCATAAAATACGCTTACTTAATACGTTTATTGTCTATGTCTATTTCACCCTCTAGAGTATAAGCACCGGGAGGGCAGGGACTTTTGTCCGGTTCACTCTTGCAACCCCCAGTACCCAGCACCTGCTTTCGCAGCACCTGTTTCCATGTGGACACAATGACTCACTGAAAGCCTGGCCCCTCTTTAGACTGTAAGCTCCATGAGCACAGATTCCCATATCTATTTAGTTCACCACTGTATACTCTGTATACACTGTATACTTTGTTCACTATAACTCATGACGAGGGCAGTGCCTGACACACAGAAGGCACTCAATAAAAATTGCTGCAGAAAAAATCAATACCTAAATTGTGTAAGAAGTTCGATTGCTAAGGTCCATGTCAATCCTTAACATCTGTGATTTTTCTAATAGTCTGTTTAAAGATGGGACAGATACTGTACTTACTGCTGGGCCCAGATCCACTTTCCCATGTAACATTAACAAGTACTGAGATGCAGGGATAAAGACCCTTGAATTCCTTCAATACCAATTATTCATTGAATGTTTACTCGTCCCAACCACCAGGCTAGGTGCTAGAGATAAACAGTGAAAAAGAGATGCATCATTCAAAAGTCACAGGGCGCTTACATTCTATTGGGGCAGACAGACGACACACAAGAAAACAAATATGTAAAAAAAAAATAAATCGATGGGCAAACCTGCATTACGTAGGAAAGGCCACTGTAAGGAGGTAACAACTGAGCCGAGATCTGAAAGAAGAGAAGGAACCAAATATTTCAAAAGCTAAGGAAGGAGTATTTCGGACAAAGGGGGCAGCAAATATTAACTCCCTGGGGTGAGTTGAGAAATGGTAGGATCCGTTTCCCTGCAAAGACCTGAGAGAGAAGTGAGGGGTGACCTGAGATGAAAAAGGCCAGCAAGCCAGATTCTCAGACCCTGGAGGACATCAGAAAGAGTCTTAACTTTATTCTTAAAAAAAAAAAAAAAAAAAAAAAAAAAAAGCAATGGCAAGGAACGAAAAGTCTTTAGATAGGGCAGTGGGTGATTTATTTATAAAAGCCACCCTTACTGCCGTGTGAAGATTGCATCTGAGAATCAAGTGGATACAGGGAAAATCCAAGGCTGTGGTGGATTGAACTGGGATGTCCGTAGTGGAGAAGGGAAGATAAAGTGCTATCTAAGGCACGAACACAGAAACATTTTAAATACAAATATATATAGCTTAAAAGCATGTAACGTCTTGGCTGATCCTTGGTTCTCACCTTCTTGGCTCATCATCAGGATTTGCCACAGTTGATCGATCATTCCTTCTTCCTCGAAACCCTTTCTCTACCTGGCTTCCAGTACACCACACACTTACTAGTTGTCTCCTATCTCCTTGACTACCCTTTTTAATCCCTGCCAGTTTTTTTTTTAATCCTCCCCTTGCCCCAACTGTCAATGTTCAAGCATCCAAGGGTTCAGTGCTTGCAATATCCCCTTAGCTATTCCATCAAGTACCATGATTTAAATATCATCAATCAGCTGACAAATCTGTAATGTATCCTCTCTGACTTCCAGATTCAAATGTCCAACTACCTACATTATGCCCCTGCCTAAATGTTGAATTACAGCTCAATCTCAATATATGTGAAAACTAAACTCATGATCTCCCCAGCTGCTGCCAGAAACCAGCACTTCCCCCAGCCATGCTCACACCCAGGGACCTTCATACATGCCATTCTCCCTGGTTGACCAATTCTTGCTACAGAAATCCTCATCAGTTGCTACCATATCTGCTCATCTTTCTCAAAGGCCACTTTTCCTGACTTTCCCTGACCATGTTCTCCATCACCCATTTTAAATTGTAACATTCATCCCATATCCTCCATCCCCACTACCTGATCTAATTTACTCCCCACCACTTATCTCCTTGTGAAATAATTTCCTTGAATATTTGTGTAGTAGCCCTCTGTGGTCACAAAAATATGTGCTCCGTGTGGACGAATTTGTGTATCTTTTGTTGACTTGATATTTTCCTAGCATGGCACCTGATATGTAGTAGGTGCTCAATAAATAATTAGATGCTTGAAAGAACAACAAATATAAAATGCTTTCTTCACATTAAATGCACAGATAAAAACGTAAGATGAAACTATATTCTTCATCACTTGTCTAGATTTGTAACTTTTCAGTTTACACTGTATTTTGACTTGGAGGAGAGGAAAAGAGATGGAAACAACCAGAAAAGAAACTTAAAAATAGGTTGTTTGCAGTTCGAGATAATAACATGGTGATAGAACCTCACAAAAGGCAAACAGATGTGCAAAGTGAGTCACAAAATCAAGAAGTTATTGTTATCCTAGTGTTATAAAAAGGAGTCAAAGGCACAGTTCATGGAATGACATACTTCATAGCATCAAGAACTTTTTCAAGAACCTAAGCGACCTCAAAGTTACTCCTTTTTCTCCGCACACAATGTGGTACCCCCGACACCCGTGAAGAGTTGTAACACCCGTAAGTGAGCCTACAATTCACTGGCATGCAGTAGCAATTAGGAGACGCTCCGAAACAGAAGGAATGTAACACTGCTGTGTTTTTATCTTGACCCGAAGCAGGAATCCAAGATGTAATTAAAGATTGGAGAGCGATGCATCTCCACTTCTAAAAACTGTTCATGTCACTAGGGCCCGTGGGCCGGGTCATGCTACCAGGGCCGACCCAGGTCTGGGAGGACAGCCTGCGCCCTAACACGCACCTCGGCCTCCGGCCAGAGGCTGCCAGGAGCTCTCCTGCAAGTCCCGCCCCAGCGCCCCGCCTCCGCTTACCAGCGCCGGCGAAACTCGTGCTTCTGCTCCTCCGACATCGCCAAAGCCTTCTTTCTCTTCATAAAGCCCAGCAACTCCTGTATCTCCTTCTCACACGAGGCCAGGAGCGGGTTTTTAGCGTCCAGCGGCCCATAAAACACGGCGAGGGGCAACGAGTCCTCGTGGCAGGTGGAACTAGGGAGTGGGTTTAGAGAGCTCTCCTTCGACTCCAGGGGCGACTTCGAGACCGTGGTTGAGGGTACTGACGGAGACACGGATGAGGCAGACGTGTTGCTGGATGGATAGGTCGGGGAGGGTCCCTGTGCCGCCATGTTGTCGCGACCCAGGCCGGACCAGAAGCGTACATACACGCGGTTGCCTGGCGACGGTCTCATGGCAACCAGGCCCCCAAAGCGGTTTCGGGAAAACACAGCGGCCCCTAGAGGACAGAGGAAGAAAAAACCTGGTCCATAAAGGAGTGATGTTCCTGGGGGTCTCCGCTCCCCTAAGCCCACCTCCCTTCTCACTGATGAGAAAGAGAGAAGGTTGTGGACAGAGAGCCAAAACTTACAATCAAATTCAAACTATACCCTTTTTTCATTTAGACTATTTAATGATGATCGCCATCACTAATATGTGCTAGGCATTGTTCTAAGCATTTGAAACAAAATCTCAATCATTATAATAGCTTGAAAACTTAAGATATTAGTATCTCCATTTCACAGTTTAAGAAACCAAAGCTTACAAAGGTTTAGTCGTTTGACCAAAGTCAGAGTAAACCACAGGGTTAGGGACCAGGTCCTCAAAGCCTGTGCTCAAAATGAAAAGGCTGTATTGACCATCTCCAAAACAATAAACTCATCAATCAAACCAAAATTTTGAAAATACCTGACAAGCAATTTAAAAATCAAGTACCTACAGCCGGTATCTTCTCTTCCCTCTGTTTGTACCTTGAGGTCTCCAAATGGAAACAATGTCTGTGTCTAATAACTATGATTACTCTATACTGATTCATTTGTATTCAAATATATCCTAATTGTCACTATATTCTAAATGAAAAGGCATTTTACTCAACCTTAACTATTGAATGTTAATGTGTATTAGTGGCTTGAAGTATTAACTCTCAAAATGCTTTTTCATTTTAAAATGGGGATTCTAGGAAACTCTGCTTCTAATGGAGAAACTACAGGCCTCAGGGGTAACATTTGGGGACAAGGAAAGTACTTCTTTCCCTGCATGTTATGAGCAACAATAAGATCCATCAATCTATTGATCAATTGATTGATAGTGTGAGTTTCCAACTAATAGGAAACTTGCTTTCTTTATAATTGTGCAAATTATATATAAGAAGGGCCAGAAATATTTGATGGTTTAGAAAAACAGGCCCCTAACACTAAAAATTGTTAGTCTTTGTTACAATTTTCCACTTAAGATTAAGAAATGTATTGGACCACAGCCTTATTTATTTCAGTCCTGACCTAATATTTTTGTGGGCTCAATGGTGTTCTGCTGATTTGTGAGGCTGGCATAATATGTCCTGTGCATTACACTCTAATATTCTGTGAAGGGAACTTGTGATGACTTTGCTCTTTGAGGCAGGTGATTATGACCTGAGAACCTTTCTGGTTCTCTGACATCTCATAGAAGGAGTTACAGTTCTCTGAGCAGGATGTAGAAATCATTCTTTGATCAAGATTTTATCTTGCTTCTAAGTGAGCAATAAAAATGTTAAGACTTTTATAAGACTTTTTTAGGCCTAAAAAACTTCATCCTTGGGGCATTTACAAAAAGTAGTTTTAAAAATCTTTTTTAAAAATCAGCTTAGTAAATCATTCTCTTCTCATCTTATCCTTGTTCTCACATAACAGACTTGTCCAGTTAGGCTCAAAAGCTGGTGTAATTTGCCACTGAGTACTCCCTATTACACTGATGAAAGAGAAACTGCCAGATAAAATTCGTGTGGTTAGAGAGGAGAGAAGAAAACAAAAATAAAACAGGTAACACAGGGTTTTTTTTTTCCACGATCTCACAACCTAAGTTATGGTGCAGATGCACCACAAAGTCACTGGTAAAATAAACTGTGACTAATTAATTTCAAATACTTGACTTATGAAACATTACATCTTAGTCATTTCCCTTCTTGCACGTACTATGTTAACAATGCTGAACTTTCAGCAGTTTTTGGAGCTTGTTTGAATAATTTAAATGGGTGCTATTTCCTCATGGTAAAGTGAGTTTCCATTTTGCTTAAATTGTACTTGAAACATTTTTTTAAGATTTAAGAGGTATTATCTTTTTTTCATAATGAGATGCAGCTATTAGAATGTCTTTCCTATGTCCTTGTCACTTTGCTTAATTGTTTCCACTGCAGTGAAAGAATGGAGCTCTGCAACGGTTGTGTCTGACAAGGCTAAGTAATGTAAATAGCTCCCTTATAAATAATGTAAATTGCTGTTTCCTTATAATTAGTGTCTTTGCAGGCTGCAGGGATCCTTTTTGCCCATCCGAGAGTCTTTATCATGTAAAGTTACTGTTACAGCAAGAATGAATAAGGTTAGCATTCTTTCTATTCCTAATTTAGTCTTTAATCATTTGGACCGTCCCAAATATGTAAATATACATGGTATTTTTTTAAAGCACGAAGTTCTCCCCTTGCCACCTCATCATCTAATTTAGACTCTATTTTTTAACTTCTTTGTCCTTTCATTCAGTAAAATGCAAGCATTTCTTTAGGGTGACATGCAGTGCACAAATGAGCACACACATTTCCTACAAGAAGCAGAGGACAGCACCATCATTAGAAGGCATGCTGTGAAGTATGTTGTGATGTAGGTTCAGAAAATGCTAGATGAGTCTCAGGATGAAGCTCAGAACTGGAAAGAGAGCAGAGGACTGTAGAAGAGGTGATGTTTTAGCCCTGGACAGTCACTACCCCTCAATAATAGAAAGACTCTTGCAACAGGGATTTGCCTATTTATAGTGATAACCTAGAACCCCAGCCTGGCAACTGGCACAAAGTATGACTCAAATCTTTGTTGCTATAAGTGAAGGAAAATAAATAAGATGAAGGATATCCTTGACTGATAGAAAAGCCTGAGTAAGATACAGTGGTAAACAGTAAGATACAATCGTAAACATAAACAGCAAGTTATATAAAGTCTGTCTAGTGTGGTAAACCACAAATTGCAGCAGACCCAAGGGCAGAATATAAGACAGAAAGAGAAGCATGATTACATATAGTGGGCAGTTGGAAGACATGCTAAGAAATTTTGACTTAGCTCTATGTCCAGGGGGTAACCCTGGTTAGGAAATCAGTGTTCATATAAGAGGTTAAAGCCCTAATTTGAGGACCAGAACACATGGTTTGAATTCCCAGTTTTTCCAAGTTACTTAACCTCACTGTGCCTTGGTTTCTTCATCTGTAAGATGGGGTGAAATAATAATACTATTTACCTAATAGTTTTGTTTTGTTTAGAATTAAATAAGTTAATATATGTGAAGCCCATACATAGTGCCTGGCACATAATAAGTGCTATGTAAATGTTTGCTAATATAATTATTTACTTGGGAAACATCAAAAGTTCCTAAGCAGAGAAGAGCATGATCCAGTCTGTATTGTATGTATTTTACAACAGAAACTATCATGGCAGAATGAAAGGTGGGTGGGAGCGAGGAAAGTGATATGTGATCTCTGCTTCACAGATTATCACAATGGTTATGTTCAGTCAGCCAATGAGACAGAAGCAGCCGACTAAAACCACGGATAGACACGGAGGCAGAATGAGTAGGAAAATAAATTCTAATCAATAAAGTAAAAGGAGAGTCGTGGAGTGATATGCAATTTACATAATAATTGTGTAATATAGAGTATAATATATACAATATATATTTTAAGTAAATTGTATGAAGTAGCTATAAAAGCAAGCAGAAATTCTAACAGAAGGTATTTACGGTCTTAAATCAAAGCTTTCCTAAAAGCTACAAGAGACAAAAAAGGAAAATACTGATCAATGTGGATAGATTAAGCAAACTTTTGGAACAATGAAAGATACCACCACAAAAGCAGAAAAACAAGTCACACACTGGGAAAATAAATTTGTAATGCGTAACCTCCCCTGTGACCGCCATATTGATAAGTGTCAATAGAAGGCTGGGGGTGATGGAAAGACCAGATAAGGGTACGGCTTAGGTAAATCGACTTCTTACAGGTTCCCAGTGGGAGTCTGTCTTAAGAATAAATGACAAAGAGATCAACAACATTCCCCAGAACAGATGGGAAGATAAGTTTCCAAAACCTGAAATTGTCACCAGTAAGTACACAGCTCTGGACGGTAATATCCCTGCATCTTTCAAGTCTTTGTGGCTTGAACAAGTGTCTGTAATTCAACTGGAGTGCAGTATTGCTTCTACTTTAACCCTTTGGTATGAAGAGTTCCGAAGACTTCCACTAGGGTTTTTCCACCCCTAAGACTGCAGGTTAGGGATCCAGTGTTAGGGCGCTGCTGAATACTAAGTCTCCCTTTCCAAAGTTTCTGGGATTGTGAACTGCTTGAGATCTGCAGACTAGATGAGGAACCACAACTTTCCACTGTAGCAACTAATACCAGACTCTTGCTTACAATGTCATCGTAACAGAGTGAAAGGCTCAACCTCTCTCACTCCACCCTGTTCGGGCCTGCCTTGTCCCCTTCCTTGACCTTCAGCTCAGTCTTGCACATGGACTTGCTAACCACGTGAAGAATTCTGCTTTTGGCTTCAGTTTTACAAAAACAACCCCTTACCATAAAGTCGCTCTCTTAAGGAGATAAAAAAAAAAGTATGTGTCGTTTATCAAACATTTGCAGGGACCTCATCATCAGACTCACATCAACCAGTACGATCTTCCTTAGACACCTGCTGGCACCCAGATGTCTGAGTCATTAATCACCTCTTATCCCTCCCATGTCCCCTTTCTTTGACATAAAAGAAGCCCAAACTCTGTATTTTCTTAAGATGAATTTAAGGGTTGGGGCTCCCATCTACTCAGCTGGCATCTTCTCCACAGATAAAACTTTCCTACTCCAAAGCCTGATGTTTTGAGTTTTGGCCTTTCAAAGTGTCAGGCACACAGACTTTGGATGGGCAATATTTTGAGTTTTCTGATTATACAGGTAAAGCGACACCTGTGTTGCCTGCTTTTCCAGCTCGCCCCTTTAACACCACAATCCATTAACTAACACCAGATACTCATCCCCATAGATAAAGGCAATTTCATTGCCACTCCAGCCTGGCTGTTCTTATGATAATTACATTCCTAACTTTTATTAACTGCTCCAACCCGGCCGTTGCTGTT